ACTCCAATGCCTACTACACAATTGATAGTACCTATTGGCCAACCTCCATTGGCTACATCAAAGAAAGAAGTTATGGGACTTGAAGAAATTGTACAAGGTATGTAAAATCTTTAAATCAAACTTGCGAGGCTTGACAAGAAGACTTCTACAATAAGTTTAAAGACTACTTTTAAACAAGGATATGTGCAAAGATGTATTTGGTGTGATGATGATTCTCATTCTTGAAAAGATTGTGGTGAATTCAATGAGATGGTACAACAAGGCATTGTTTATTGAAAAGATGAAAAAGTTGTATTGAAGGATACTTGCGAGCTTCTCCAAACCAACTTTGATAAAGGAAGCATGAAAGCATTGATTAAAGATTATTTGGCAATACATGAAATTGTAGTAATTGAAGCTTCAAGTTATGGAACTATGATGGATAATGATGGCAAACAAAATTTTTTTGGAAATGTTCAACCAAGGAAACTTTGGTCTTTTGCCATTTCTACAATGTAAAAAAAAAAAAAAAAAAAAAAAAAAAAAAAAAAAGATGCCACAGGAAGCTTTATTAAAAACTACTGTAATAATTTTTGATACTACGAATTAGAAAGATATTATAGAAGCTTTGTCAGTACATGCATATATTGCAATAAGCCAACATAAAGCTTTAATAGAAGAAAAAAAGAGAAGAAATTTTGATGATATAAGAGAAGGAAATTCTTCTAAGAGGCAAATTTGAGGATATTAGACTAGTACAGTGGCTTCACAAGAATTATCCACAAAGGATACTTCAACAATATTAGAAGAAAAAGCAAAGGAGATAAAAGATAAAGATAAATTGACAACTTATAAACTACTTTCTGATATTGAAGTTGCAATAGATTTAAAAGGAGTGCTTGAGGAACGTATGCTCAATACTAAGGTTGAGTTTATATTAAAAGAGATTTTAGAAATTACCAAGAAAGAATTCTATGATGTCATTATTGACAGTATTAAACAAAAGAGGCAATTAATGGAAGAAGCTGGATTGAATCATGCTATTAATGCACACATATATGACGGTGAAAAAGATGTATTTGATAATTATTACAAACAATCAACAAGTAAAGGAAGGAGTCATAATCAAGTAGTACGTTTTGATAATCAAGGTAATAAAGATAGAGAGGTTTCAAGTCATTATACTCGGAAGCATTGGGCTAAAGCAACTAGAGAGGCGTTAGTGAAGGTTGGAGATATGGATGAGTTAGTTGTTGCTTTGATTAACCATAGTTTAGAGATAAACCTTATGTCTAAAGATCTTTATATGAAGCAAAAATGGCCAATTGATATGGAGCATGGATGGACAATACAAGCAGCTAATAATATATGAAGTGAGTTATATGGTGCTTGCTCAAATATAAAAATTTAGATTGGTAATGTTGCAATGGAACAAAATTTCTTTATTCAAGATGCAATGTCTTATCATCTTATTTTGCTAATGTTAATGTAATTTAAAATTATTTTAATTGCAATGAAGTCTTTAAGGTATCTAGAAGGTCATGGATTTGAACCTTCATAGTGATATATAGATGAAGGAATAAAAAATTGAAGAAAGAATATTTTCTAAAAATTCTTAATATATATATTCAAGATATTCAAAAGATTAGCCTTTCAATACTTATATAATGAGATTATATTAGATGGCAAGGGTACTTATTGCCTATAGGTAGTAGTAAGGAATTTCTTCTAATAATAACACAATATGTGATGTCTACACCTTTTATATATTCATTTTTTTAATAAATTGGTATATAGCTTTTATATATTCATTTTTTTAATAAATTTATATACTAAAGAATATAGATGTAGCTATCTTAATTAATTATTGAAATAAGAAAAAATAATAATTATCTTGGCAATCAATAACTAAAAAATTCAAAAAATAAAAAAATTCAAACAAGTAACAATGTTGGAATATAGTGTAACTTTTTAATATGAAAAAGTAAAAAAGAAGTTCTTATCAATCTTCAAAGGTACTCAATTAAAGATTTGTATATATAAAAACTAACTTCACAAAATTATAACTTATCTAAGATATAATTGACTATATATTTTAAGTCATTTACAAACTTCAATAAAATTTTAAACTATATGAATTAAAAAATTAAATAAAACTTGGATGTGTATTAAAAATTTATTATGAATTACAAACACTTAGCAAGAAAAAAATTATAAAAAATTCTATGTCAAACTATAAGATTGAATGTCTCACATATGAAATGTTAGAAGATTTAGTAGATCATCTCATGTGGAATAGTATATATTTACTTTGCTACAATCTTTGGATTTATTCAACATCATATTCAATTAATAGAGGCTTTTGAAATATATAAGATAGTTGATCCTTTATCAAAAACCTTCCCTTCTTCTTTCATTTCCAAAATATTAGCCTACCTAATTTTGTTAGTTTGGCAACTAAGTTTGATATTTTATTGATAAAAAAATAAGTCGAAGGCTTATTAAAATGATGTTAAATTATAAGCAGTAAATAAAATTTATTGTACTAAAAATAGATATGCATGAATTATTAATAGGTGGCACTTGCTGATTGATTGGGATAGAATAATAATATAATTAGGTGCGACACTTCTCTTGATAGCATTAATAGGTACCAAACATCATAGTTTTGTAAAAGATAGATTCTTTGTTTTGTAATCCACTGCCAATCAAAATTAAATAAGTCTATATATCCAATATAGGTTAAAGAGAATCTTTAGCTCAAGCATTTATACAAATTTTGTTTTGTGGCCAAATTATGTAAAAACACTTAAAATCTTTTCGATTTTTATTTTCCTACATAGAGGTTTTTTTTCCATTTTTACATCTATTGGATACATGCTAAAATGCTTAAGTAATCAAAAATGAGTTATCTACCTTATTGTAGATGTCTTCTCTTAATTGATATTAGATATGAGATAATTGATGCTCCTACAAAAAAAATCTAGTTAAATTTAAAGTTACAATAGGAATTAAGTTCAAATTGGAAGTACTAGATTGCTCTTTCATATCATATGATGTACAACAATGAAGTCTGCTTGTGCATTTGACTTAAATTCTTTAGCATATTTGTGATGTTGAAATCAAAAAATCTATTGCAGTTCAATTTTTGAAGTAAATCACAACAATCTTATACTGTAAGGTAGCTTTTGTATCTATTATTTGCATCTTATAATAGATTTTATGTATAATGAAGTATATACAAACATGAAATTTATATCTTATAACAAATTTTATGTAAGATACATCTAAAACAATTTGCAATTTTCATAGCATTGTATTGAATACTTAATCTTATTTTAGAACAAGAGATATGTCTTGTAGGATTTTTTAATTATTATTATTATTTGGCTTATTTATAATTCTTCTTAGAACTTTCTATCTTAAGTCAAAGCAAGGTTTATGGTTTTAAAAGAACCAAGACTCTTATAGATACTACTACAAATAAAAGGCTATAATATTATTAAAAGATGATGTGCTCTCTAATTTTATGTCTAGTCTAAGACTTCTTTTACTATTTTATTTATTTTTTGTTGGACACTGAGTCATTTTTTTAAAAAAATCTATTGAGATCAAATCTATTTGTAACTTGTGATAAAATATCCTAAATAGAATATTAAATTTGGATATATATATATATATATATTATAATAAATATCATAATGTTAGCTTAATTATGCATAAAACATAATTATTTTAGTTTATTACTTGAATTAATGGTGTATATCCACAAATTCTATTGAGACTTGTTTTATGGATAACATAAGATATTATTTATCTAATACAAATTTGACATAAAATTATAATAAAACTATAGTGAAGCCTTAAAATTTTTAAAAATATATATTGAATATAGAATAAAATTATACATTAATCAAATTAAAACTTAATTTCAGATTAAACTTAATATCAAATTAAAACTTAATATAGGTAAAAATTATACTTGTTATGCTCAATAGATGAATGATACATAATTTTTCTTTATTCTCCAGAATAAATATTTACAAGGACTACAAAAATATACTCATGTTTTTTAATATGTGTTTTAAAAGAAGTTAACTTTTGATATGTATGATTATTATATTTTGTAATATTTATTTATATATTTTAGCTAAAGTAGGTTTATTTTTAAAACTTATCCTATATCATCATACACAATAAAAATAAAAAAATAATATTAAGAAATTTCAAAAATTTATGCACATGGAGAAAATTAATACAAGGTCTTTTTAAAAAAAATATGAATACCATTTTTTTCTCAACTTCGAACTAAATTAGAAATATATATATATATATATATATATACACACACATATTGTATTTTTTTATTTATCTTATTTATCTGTCTTTTGTCCTAGAATGATTGTTGATCCCAAAGGTGATTATGTGCACATCCAACAAAGATTCCATATGTTGAGACCAACATGTGCAACGTGAATCTGTGAAACAACACGTGACAAAAATATCTGCCCAGCAGATAAATAAATTAAACTACATCAGGCTTCATCTTTTAACATATAGAACGAAATTCCTTCTTCCTGATTGGTTTCCCTATCCATAAGTCTTCTTTTTTGTTTAAAGCCCAATCCACTGACCTCACAACGGACCCATGAGAAGATCACCTCAAACTGAACCAAAAACGAGAGAAAATAAAAAATAAAAATAAAAAAGACACTTGTCAATTACATTACAGTTCAAGAACATTCCTACCAGAAGGTCGCTTCCACGTGGCAAGTGAGCTGGACTTGCCACGCACTCTCTTTTTCGCGCGCACCTGTTCATGGCCCCGCTGATGTGGACCAACGACTCCGGATAGTCCCCCTTTCACCGTGCCCCCTTGAAATCCACAAAAGCACTAATGTGCAAGATCTCCGCTTCTGGTAGATTTGGAAATAATGTTTTTCATAGACATATTAATTCGCAGATCTAGGAATGAGTCTGCGGCGGCTGGGCTGGGATTGGGGGAGAGAGGGGAGGGCGCGGCATTGCGAGGAGGAGAAGCTGCGGGGGTCTGATCCGCGCCGAGAGCGTGCGTGCGTGCGAGCGCGCGTGAGTTCTGCTATGGGTCCGCGTGGGGATTCATTCGCAGCTGGGTTGTGATTCTCGCCTGCTCTCTCAATTCCTTTTGTGGTGCGTCGAGATTCGTGGACGTTGTTGGGCTGCCAGGCATTACGCGTGCGTTGATGCGAGGAACTGAATCTGGTGTAGGATCTGCCTGTGGTGTTGTTGGTGTGGATTGTAATTGTTGGTGGGGTGCTTGAGAGTGGGAACGAGGGTGCATAGTGAAGTGACGCGGGGAGTGGGATTGCTGTTTTACAGCGAGCAGGGAGAGGAGAACGGAGAGGAAAGGGGAATAACAGGAGCTGAGAGGTCAAGAGGAGTGGCTGTTGTTCACAGGTTTGCGGATGTGGGTGGTCCTGGAGCATTTCACGAGTGCACGTCGACATTTGCTTCATTTTAGAGGTCAGCGTTAACGGACGTAGGCCGGATAACCTCCGTGGATATACATGGTCGTAATCTTATGCATAGCCCTGCGGAGAAAGTCATAAGTTTCGCCGGGATGGATTTGAGGATATTTATCGAAACTGGAGCTTCTTATAGTTTCGTTGAAACATGAGCAATTCTTGCAATTCGTTTTCGATTCTAGTTGTCGGTGTCAAAGCAAGTGCTAGAGCTTTCTGCGCCGTCCTGGTTTGGGAGTACATTTCCCCCTAGATAACCATGCCCTGCATCCAGCATCCCCTTTTTGACCCCGTTTTTTTAGTGCATTAGGGCAAATTTTATTTTGATACAATATTTTTATTTGTTCTCATGGCACGTATCAGTAGAACTGGGTATGCAGAGGCTTTTGGACCTAAGCGGAGTGGTTCTAGAGCAGCCGAGCTTAATCTTGGGCGGAGTGACTTGGAGAGAATTCGCGTGGTTTTTAGCAGGGTGCATGACCTGTGGGACAGCTTCCAAAGAAGTCTGGTGACGAATTAGGTTTTCAGATTATTTCATACATCACGCTGTCAGTGATATTTCTGTGTAGTTCAGCAGTCGCAAGACCTTGATTTTGGGTGGTAATTTGTAAGGACTTGGAGTATCAAAAATGGCCCAAGCACACCCGGTGCCCAATATTATGTACCACACACATAGACAATCCTGTCAGAGCATAACTTCCTCATCACCAGTGTTACTCTTGCGCGAACTGGATGGAAAGCATCAGCAATTTGTTAATCTCAACTCAATATCTTCTAGTTTTTATGGCAGCTGTGGTAATGCCAAGTTAATGAAGCACCATCAGCTTAGAGTGTTGCCAAGTTCTCGAATTTGCCGAGTGCCTGAGTCTCAGCTGTGTCGAGTAGACCAACCTCGGAAGCCTCAGATTGATAGAAACATATCCTGGAGCCTTGCTACGGCAGGGTCGCATGTAGTTATGACAGATTTTACGAGATCGAACTTGTATCCTACGAGACAGGGGAGGTACAGCGCGGTGGTTCATGCGCAAGCTGTTCATCGCTCTTTCTCCCTCTTACCTGGAGCTGGTCCGCTTCGAGATTTCCTGTTTGCACTGATTGGAGCAGTGTTTGCATTCTTTTTTGCGGGATTTTTAGCGAGGCTCTGGAGTTTGGAAGAACGGTACTTTAGAGCCACGTCAGCTGAGAGAGGGAGTGCAACCATGCCAGAGATGGGCTCAAATCAAGGTCAAAAAGAGTCTGTGGAGTGGGTGAATATGGTGATTCACAAGGTCTGGAAAGTGTACAGGCGTAGTCTCCAAGTATGGCTGGTTCAGCTTCTGCAACCAGCTATTGACAATTTGGGGAAGCCCAACTGGGTGAAGAGGGTGAAAATTGTAGAACTCAACTTGGACTATGAGCCTATTATTGTGCGTAATGTGCAGCGCCGTGCATCTAGGTCAGTTTTCTATTCGAATGCGTCCCATTCTTTCCAGTCTTCATTTTGTGTTTATCATTTAAGAGATATATATGCTTCAAGATTGAAGATACAAGCATTTAGCATGTAGCTGGAGCAACTACGTGTCCTACTTTGATGCAGGCTTTCTGTAATTGGATCAATTCTTAAATAGTCTGCATGGTTGGCAGGCGCGCGAATGACTTACAATATCACTTTGGGCTACGGTACGCTGGTGGTGCTAGGTGTTTGCTTAACTTGAAACTTGGCCGGGCAGGTTTCGAGACCTTCATTCCAGTTGGAGTGTATGAGCTCGATGTGGATGCGGAGCTGTGGGTGAAATTGCGGTTGGCTCCAGTGAAACCATATGTGGGGACTTTGTCTTTGGCCTTTGTGCGATTGCCTACTATCAAGCTGGTCCTGGCTCCCTTCAGAGTTGTGAATCTCTTCTCTATCCCATTTTTAAACAATTTTCTCTCGAAGTTGTTGACAATAGACCTTCCCCGCCTGCTAGTTCTGCCACGACATATTACCTTCGACTTCTTGCCTCAGGGCCAGAATGTCATGGATTCCATGGAGGCAATGGAAGCATCTGTAGAATCAGGTGCCATGGATGAATCAATTGCATCAGGTGTGCTGGACCTCCTGAAAACTGCTTCCTCTGAGCCGGCTGTTCCGCAAAAAGACCCGAGTGAGGCCTTTGTTGGGGAGCTTTCTGTCACTATCTGTGATGCTCGTGGCCTACCAATACGTGGATTTACTGGGTGGAGTAATCCTTATTGTATCCTCACACTAGGAGATCAAGTTTTAGAAAGCAAACGAAACAAGGAAACTTCACAACCTTCTGGTCCCAAAGATCCAGTTTGGAATCAAGATTTCCTGCTACTGGTCGAGGATCCTAGGAGACAGAGGCTCATGCTACGTGTTCGCGACAGCACAATGACCTTGAACCCTAACATAGGTTACTGCTATGTTAATCTTGCAGAGCTCAGAGTAAGTACTTGAATCATTGCGACGCACATTTATTTTTCAGGGGTCACCATCTGGTTATTTGTAAATGAATCAAAACTTATCTGAGCATTTCTTGAGTTCGACAAAAAAAAAAAAAAAAAAAAAAAAAAAATCCTTGGCTCGGGATGTTGCCTTAAAGTCGAACACCACATCCGTCATGGTCATTTGGACCATCAACTTTCAAACTAACATTTCGTATTTTTTAAATATTCAATATCCCCCCCCCCCTTTCGCTTTTAGTTCTGATCACTTGGAATGTGCGGATATTCAGGATTGTGTGCCACGTACCATGTGGTTAAACTTGAGGCGAGATGGACTGTTTGGGCCGAAAAAGGTGCCTGGGAGGGTTCGTCTCACTTTGACATTCAAATCTTACGTTGACAGAGAGGATGACATTGACGAAAATGCGGGCTCGTTCTCTCCATACATTAAGGTTTTTAAAGATTCGGGCGCTGAAACTGTGGAAGACATAGGAGTGAGCTTAGGTGAAGAGATAGCTGCGAGTATAGAGGGCAACGCCAAAAGAAACGAGTACGAAAGTGATGTCGAAGCAGAAATAGTTCAGACACAACGGAAGGACTCGAGTGTTGAGATTAGTAGCAGTCCGAAGGGCAAAGGAAAACCAATTGCCAATGGGAATGCTAGAGCTTCAGGATCGAATAGTAGTGTTGTAGAAACGCAGTCAAGTCAGGATCAGTTCAGAACAAGAAGTGCTGCAGAAACTGTGAAGCAAGGGAACGGATCTGCACGGAGGGGAGAGCAGGTGGAGTCGAATTCAACCCACTCTTCCAACACAAACGCCAGTGAGAATGCAACCACTTACCCCAGCATCTTCAGTAGCGATGGAGATATTCGCGTGCCTAGGAGGGTGAATGACAGTGAGCAGCAGGGAGAATACTCCAGCATACCTGCAGATTGCAGAGCCAGTGTGTGGGACAACAACGTTGAGAGGTTGACCAAGTCCTCTGAAACTCATGACGGCTCAAGAGTAGGTGTGTCTGAGACTCAGGCCTGGAGACAAAGCATGCACTCAGAAGCCAGTGGAGCGCCTGCCATGAAACACAAGGCCACTGAGCCCTTTTCTGGGAGTTATGATCCGAAGGAGGAGAGCACCCAACTGGAAAATGAGGCAGGATTAGTTTCAAAAGGTGATGCGTCCAAAGCCGAGGGTAATAAATTACTCTGGTTGTGTATGTTTACTACTGTTGCCTACGTGATTGGGTGGAGCTTACATTTCTCAAACCCATTGCATCCATGAAAGGGAACATCATTGAGGACACGTTCCAGTCTTCATTCTCTCTAATCATCTCGCTGTGGAGTGCATGCTTTCCAACACTTGTTGGTCATGTTGGTTTTTGGGAGCTTGAGTAGAAAGTGTTTTTTGCAGTATAACAGAATTCTGAATTAATCAGCGTTAATGCGTTGTCTGGCTGTGGAAGCCTCATAGCCTTGAAAACGAAAAGCCCCCATTTTGACAACATTATGTCGTTGTGTTCACGTTGATATGTACAGGAAGTTGTAAAGGCATAAAAGTAATGAATTCACATCTTTAGAATATGTAAACATGTCACTAGATTTATATTGTGTGCAATTTATAATCTAGTTTATTACACCGTGATTCAAGTTCTCTAAATATGTATTTTTTACCACTAAATTTTTTGTCAATACTTTCTTTTCCAATTAGTATCAGTTATAACATTCAAATATATATTATTTGCAAATAGATGTAATTTTTTAAAATCAACTCATTTGAAACAACTCCAAGATATGTTTACGTTATTAAATGTAATAAATTCAAAACATGTATGTTGTATCAATTAATTATGTATCATTAATAAATTAAAACAATAAAATGCTATTCTTTTATTTTATTTATTACTTGTTTTAGCTTATTTAATATCATGAAGTTGTTCAAAAAAAACTTAATACAAACTAACAAATTTCGGCATTAGAAAAATCTATTTAACTCACTTGTAGACAATTATATTGAAATTGCAATAGTTAATGTTGAATCATAAGCAAGACAATAAATAGTACGTACTTAATTTATTTACATAAAAAAAATAAAAAAATCTTTATCTCATCAAGATTCAATGTTTTAAACATGTATGTTGATTCAATGTTTTAAACACATTTACCTTAAACTACTACTTTGGTCCAAAATATCTTAATTTAATAGATTCATAATTAATTTTACTAATTAGGACTTAGTTTTTTTTAATTAATATTTATTAATTGATATTCTAAAATCTTTGTTATTTAATTTTTATGGCTTTTGAAAAAAATTGTTATAAATATTGATTGTGTATAATCTTAACAAAAAAGAAGATGCAACATGGATAACATGTTATTATTTTAATTTTAATTTTTTGTGAAAATTTGTACTTGTGAAATTTCTTTATTTCTTTACTTTTTCCAAATATCAAATAATTAAAAGAATTTTTTTAAATAAAATAGTAGGTAAGAAATATATGTATTTATTGTAATAAATTTAAAATTTATTAACTTTGTTTTTAACATAAATACAACTGGTATTTGTTATTTAATAATGTGATAAATATGATCATACGGATAATTTGTTGATTGTTGAAATTATTCAGAATTATATGCTAATTTTAATGAAAACAAAAATAATTATATGTAAATATAGATACATATATATATATATATATATATATATATATATATATATATAATTCATGATCATTTTAATATTATTATTATTATTATTATTATTATTATTATATATTTAAAAGATAGCTCTTGACAAAAATTTAATAAATTTTGGATTTTTAGATGTTTATTAATAAAAGTTCAAAGTTAGATGTTATAATTTTTATGTACAAGGAAAGACTCAAATAATAAGGAATATAGAACTAAAAAATGAGATAATAAAATAGTGAAAAAAATTAGTAATTAAGTATCAAGAACATGAATTTAGATAAACTTGTCAAATAATAATAATAATAATAATAATTTTATTTTAATATAAAAATACATTTGTAGAATTAAAATAGAAGAAAAAAATGCCAATAATTAATATATTTATAAGATGAGAAAATATTAAAATGGTTATTTCTAAGTACAAAAGACTAGAGAACCTTAAATGAAGACATTAATTGATTAGAATGTAGATGACTTTAATCTTATTACTAAATATCCTAGCTAAAAAGAAGGTTATATAAATGTTTTTTTAACAACCATGAGGCTTGTGGACCAAGTGTCTAAGGTTTACAACATTTCTATAGTAGTGTCTAAATTAGTAATGTCATAGATGTGAGTAATTTCTAAGATAGATTCTTATATTACCATATTGCATTTAAAAAAAACTTAAAATCCAATTGGATATCAAAAAAAACTTCTATGATTTTTTTTAACAAAGTCTTATTTATCTAATTTTTTTCTACATAATTTTATTTACTCAAGTAGTATAAATATTTGTTAAGCATGGTATTATTAGAACATCTACTAAATAATCTAACTTGTTAAAAGAGTAGAAATAAGACAAATTTGGCATTTGATATAATATAAGATAGAGTTGCATATCAAGTGGTGTCATCTAATATTTTAATGTAATAATTTTTTTCTTTATTAAATAACTCATATACTAATTCAACCATTGAGTTCTTTTTACTTCACATCAATAAATAAAATTGATAGTGCAATATTATCAAATTATAAAATATACTACTAGCATGACATATTTTTATTTATGTGTTTATTTATAAGACGAAATATAATTAATTTATAATTAATCTCTTATATCTTTATATAATTATTATATTGTAAATAAACCATAAAAAATATATATATATATATATATATATAAACAAAATGAGAAAGGTCATCCAATGCCATGCCCAGCTAAGCCACACAAAAGTAAAAAGAAAGAGTCATCTGGATAAGTAATAAGGGCATCAGCATCACCCTCCACCTTAAAGCTACATTGTAAATTATTGCTTAAAAAAAGAAATTGTTTGAAGCAAGAGGGATATTTTGTTTCATACTTTTTTTGAGTGCTTGAAAAAAAATTGTAAAATTACAATAAGATCAAATTTATAAATTATTATCAAAATAAAACTAAATACTAACTTAAATATATCTCACAACTTTAATTATGTTATATTTTCTTATACGATTGTATATGTATAGAAGACATTGCATATGTTTTTAAAAGATACAATAATAGTAACATAAAAAATACCACGAAGGTTTTTATATTACTTTTATTTATTTTAATCATTGATTTATCTAAAATATAGTTTATTTTAATAATATTACTCTAATCAACCAAAGTTTAGATAAATCACTAATATTATGTCTCACTAACTAATGATGTTTCAAAATGTTTTTTGTGTTAAGCATTTATCTATTTTATTATTGTAAATATATATTAGTATTTTAATTAAAAATATAAAATTTGTATAAAAAAATATTTAATCTATTTTTTCTATGTGTGCATGTAAATATATATATATATATAATTCTTTAATTTATTTTATAATATAAAATACATAAAACTATTATTATTAAAAACATATACCTTATCAACTTTTATATATATTTATTTATATTTATATTTATATTACTTTAATTTATTTTCATACAAATTTCTTATAATGCTTCAAAATAAGTTTGTAACTTAGATTTTTTTTCCAATTTCTAATGTTTATTACAAATTTGATTTTACATTTTTTGAGCAATACTGATGTTGCAACTATTTGTTATGCTGTTTTAATCAGAGCTTATACTTCTAAAAAAATTGGAAAATAGACATGATAAGATTAAATAAAATTTTACAAGATTAAATAACTAGTAAACTAGATAATTATCTAACATGTCATCTTAATTTTGTGTAGTTATACTTATTCTTAGAAGTAAATTTCACTGTGTGTAAGGTATATCTTGCTTCAAAGTACCCCTTTTATATGTTCCTTGATAATTTCTAATACTATCTAAAACGTTTATGAGTTGCAAAATTTCTTGCTGGAAACAAAAGTATCATGTACATTGAGGGCTATTGTGTATGACAACAACAACAACAACAAAAAAAAAAAAAAAAAAAAAAAAAAAAAAAAATGTTTGAAGCAAGAGGGATGGTTGAAAAGTGAGATAGAGAGGCAGCCCCTGAAGAAAATTCAGCTGCCGGCCTGCCTGCCTCCTGGTTCCCCTACGTTCCCTCACTCCGTTCCCATAGATCCGATCGGCGGTTGAGATTGCATCTGAGTGGCAGCAGCCATCCGACGGCGAAAAATTGCGGAGCTAGTCGATTGAATAAAGAGGTTTCTGCGACAGAATTCCACGAGGCTGGGCACTGGGCACTCGTGCGCCATGACGGGGAACACTGGGAACACTCGCAATTGAAGCGTCAAGCCTTCGGGGATTTTAGGGTTAGGGTTTAAGGAGTTGTGTAGTTCCGGAGAGACCGATTGCTCCGATGGAGTTCGGTACTGTGGAGGTTTAGTGCATGCGCTTCTGGGAATGGTGAATGATGGTGTAGATCGCATATCCTCTGGTTTGCGTGAGGAAAATTTATTCTCTTTATTGTTCATGTGGGGTTTTAGCAAAATTTTGAACGGTGATAAAAATGAATCGAGTGTGGAGTCGCAATGCGGTTTCCATCTGGCGAAATTTTCTGGTTCGAAATGGAGGATCATGTGGGTACAGTAGCTTGTCGTCTGAGGTAGGATTAGGAGCTTCTGAATCTCAGCAGAGTGTAGTGCAAAAGCAAGTTAGGGAGAAAGTGAGGGAGCGGGTAATCCCCCCGGGCGGTCTTCTTGCTCTGAATACTCTCGCAGATAATCCTGGTTCCCGTCACCAGAAGACGAGGTTAGGAAGAGGAATTGGATCTGGGAAGGGCAAAACTGCCGGCCGTGGGCACAAGGGACAGAAGGCACGGAATGGCCGGAGCCCCCGATTGGGGTTCGAGGGAGGGCAGACGCCGTTGCGGTTGAGAATTCCCAAGAGAGGTTTCACGAACAATTTCATGAACACATTTCAGGTTGGTGGACTTTCTGAGACTTGAACTGTTATTCCGGTCGCAGGATTCTATTTTGCGCGTCTGATCCATCATTTTTTTTCTGCTTGAAAGTGTTCAAGAGAGGCAGAATCAACCTTACTATTTGCTCTTGCAGGAGGTCAATTTGACGACCATTGCGGAGCTTGCGAAGGAAGGTCGTATTGACACCTCTCAGCTTATCACCATGAAAGCATTGAAGGTAAGCATCATGGGACTCGAGTGCAAAATTTCTGAAAAGTATAAATGCTCTCATTTAGTGGGATTCTTGGGTTGATAGTGTGCCAACTACAAGAGGTCCGTTCTTGTGGATTTTTCGAATCGTATGCTTGTGTGTTCTGTGCAATCCGATTAATTGGAGCCAAATCTCTACATTAATGAAGGTATGTTTTGAATCTCTGAGCATTGACCTGGAACGCAATCACGTATGTGTGCAGGATGCAGGTGCCCTAGGGAAGAAAATGAAGGACGGCGTGAAGTTGTTAGGTCGAGGAGCTGAAAAATTCTCTCTTCCTCTTCAAATTGAGGTCATATTCTTTGATTCACCCAGTTTTTCCACTACTAGTTTCGGAAGTTCAATGTGTGAGGTTATGTAGTTTGCCATACAATTGAATATTGGCAAAACTGGTGGAAGGTTATGGCCAGACTATCGATTGTGTCATCTTTTAAAATGTGTATAGATTACTTGCTTAAGCTCTATCAGTTGTTTCTCCGTCTTTGCGTGTCATGAATTTACCCTCCAATTCATGTATAGTCCATCTTCAAATTTTGATCGAACTTTGTGCGCATGACGGGCAAATCATTGAAGTTTTCAGTTTATCTTTCTGTATTGTAATGTAGAGTCTATTGACCTCATCTAATTGGCATCTAACAGGTGAGCAGAGTATCCGAGCGTGCCAAAGCAGCCATTGAAGCAGCAGGAGGAAGTGTCAAAAAGGTGCATTACAATCATCTAGGTCTTAAAGCGCTACTTACTCCTGAATGGTTTGAAAAGAAGGGTCGACTCCTTCCAAAGCCTGCTCGCCCAGCCCCGAGGCTCCGTGAGAGAGTTGATGCTATTGGGCGCCTGCCATCACCAGCTACTCCCCTTCCCAGCGCAGAAGCCGCAGTGTCCAATTGAGAGTTCATTGTCAACCTTGCCTTTGACACCATAGCACATGAATACAGAAGCACAAATTTGTTATCATGCAATAAAGCTTATGTTATTTTATTTTTTTCAATTCTTCGTTTCGATGAGCAAAATTTGTTGGTGATGTGAGATTCTCGTTCAATTCTTTCTAATGACAATTGAATTACACTGGATCTCTGATAACGTGTAACTTGCACTTTTCATCAACGTTGTTGATGGAAAGTTTAACAATTGCTCACTTCTGTGCTTAGGGTGGATTTACACTAGGACTTGAGGGCAATGATGTACAAAATCCATTGTTCTTCAAGGAATAGAGAATGCGGTTGATCACAAGTCCCAAGGTTTCATCTAACTCCTACAATCATACTTAAATGTTATACCCATAATTTATGTGTGAATGCGTCGAAAATTTTATTAATGTATTATCAAATGCTAAATATATAGATGTGTTCCTTTTCTTTTCTTTTCTTTTCCTGAAAAGCCACTATTGACATTGACATGTGAAAATCAAGTTTTTTTGGCCTTGACTTTGAATGCAAACTCATCTTTAAATTTTAAATATTTTTCATTAGTCACATGCATGCCAACATTTAATTCATTCGTTATTTACATTGCAGTTACTGTGGAGGGACCTGTCCTTAATCACTTGTACTGTAAAATCACATTCTTAAATGACTTGTTGACACAGGTCAAATACTTCCGTTCAACGCGATTAAAGCTTTTCTTGTTGGTCATGCATTTTTACTGTAAAAAGCAATAAATCAAACTCTCAGGAACCCAAATTCATTTCCCTTGGCATTACAATCTTTGCATCAAAAGTTCAATTCCTTTTCTGGGAAAAGCCACAAATTATATGTTTTGCAACATGAAAGTTGTTGAATGTTTGCATATGCATAACTATTACAAAATGTTATTATTGTTATGTAATGAAAAGATGTACCTATTGGCCAATTTTGATATATATATATATACACAACTCCTTTTATTATCAAAAAAAATCATCATTTTATATAACAAAAGTATTTGATTTAAAAAGTTTTAAAAGCACTTGATAATACGAATAAGTGCAAAAAAAATGATGGTTATTTAGCTTTTTGAATATTGAATGGTTTATTAAATTTTCCCTCAAAAACTCACCATGTATACTTATATATCTATATAATAAGAAAGCTTAGGTATAAGACAAAGAAACAAAGAAGACATTTCATTGACTAAAATCAAAAAAATTGTTAATCAATAGAAATCACTGTATAACTTGCAAAAAGACCTTCAGTTTATTATTTGTCAACTTTTCTGGGCCCAACAACATGGGTTTCAACCAATATATTTAAGGAAGCAAGAAAAGAGTCTCCATTTGAGTCACTTGCACATAGATTCCTTAAAAGTATATATCAAAAATAGAAACCAAAGAAGAAGAAAATATAAATTCTGACATTGAAAAATCTATTTATGCTACTTTGACATCATCAAATTTGGACATGTATCTATTATTACTTTTATTTAGACTTGGATGTGAGTATGTTATTATTACAACATCTAAATAGACTTTTAATTTCCAATATGAGTATAATATTTTTACTTTATTATATATATATATATATATATATATATATAATTTTATTGTGAGGATATTGATTTTACAAGCCATTCCTTTTCAAGAATTTGGAACATAAATTTAAAAAGAAAATGCAAATCTATTTATCACTAAAAACCAAGATAAGTCTTTGTTTATGCTATCAAATACAACAACCATATACTTTAGATATAACTAAAAAAACATACAAATGCATCGTAATACTATAACGTTTTAGCAATAATTATAATAATTTCTTAAAATATACAATAAAAGTAAAAAATACACATATGAATGAAAAAAACATAACTAATAATAATTAGAAGCATATATTTATAAAATAAAATTTATATTACAATACTTGAAAAAATAGTTAATAATCAACATTATATTATTTTATATATTCAAGAATATGTACATTATTCTATTACATATTCAAAAACATCTTATGGTATCCACTATTGTTTCTTTATTTTTGTATATTTTATTAAAGTGCATAAAATCTGAAAAGAATTTAATCCAAAACTTTATTATATTCGAAGGCATTTATGTATTACATGATTAAATTTATTTTTATTTCTTTATTTCCTTATTGAATTTTTTACAGAGGCAAAACTACTATTATTTTTCAAACCTGTTGTTATCATGTAAAGGATAAAAATAAATAATTTTGAGCTTTCATTGGTGTTATTAGATTTTTTTTGAAAATTAAGAACAGATGATAAAAAAATTTGATTTAAAAAACAGCGACTCAATTTCAATAAATTTCATTTATTTCAAATTCTCCTTAAATCTTCTTCAAGAAAATATGATAATAACCAAGTTATATAAATTAAAATTTGAATCCTTAACTTTCATTTATATTCTCAAGTGTACTCATGAAATCTAGAGGAACCAAAAAAAAAACAAATTAAAATATTATCTGGCGTATTTTGAAATATCAGTGTATAGAATTCTATTTGAGTAAGTTTCGAAAAATGTAACAGTACTTATGAAGTGCTTATGAGAGTATAATACTAACATTTTACTTGAATTCAAGTTCCAGAATAGTAAAATTGATCTTGATGAAAGTGCAAATCTTTGTTCCAACTCTTTTAAAATTTATTGTAAAGTAAACTTGTAGTTTTGGAGTAAAGATTCAATTAAAATATTGCAAAGAGTTTTTAGTACATGGAGATATTTTCACATCTATTGTAATATCTTTTTTGAAAAATTAAGAAACAAATTTTGATGACCTCAAAAACCATATATAAGTAATTACATCAAACTATTTATATAATAAGAAAACTTAGTTATAAGACGAAGAGATAAAGAAGCATTCTCAATACCCAATTGGTTGAGACAAAGAAGTCTTTTCATTGGCCAAATATAATATGATCAACAACACCACAACAAATTTAGTTTATTCTAAACTTTTATTAAACTAGCTATTTTAGATATTGAAGTAAAATTTTGCTCCATGTTTAAAATCTGTATATAAAATATAATTATGTATTTTGTATTTTTTTTACTTCTCCAATATATGATCAATATTCTTTATCTTGAAGATAGTTAAGTCAAAAACACCACAATAAATATAGTTTATTCCAAAATTCTTTTAACTTAGCTATTTGAGTTGTTGTACTAAATAAGAATTGTGTTTGCAAATAACATTGGAGAAACATAAATGGTTCCACTATCGAATGAATATATATATATATATATATATATATATTTTTCTTGGTTGACATTGCTTTACAAGTGGTTGATTTTTGACTTAGCAACCAAAAATTAAAATTTTACAACTTTTCTATGCCCAACAACATGGGGTTTTACTAGTATTTTATAAGATACGTTCATAAATAAAAGTAAATTAATAAGTCCAATCATTTGATTTATTCAAACATAGCAAAACAAGTTCAACTTACAGTATTCAAAAAATATTAGTAATTTACAATATTCCTCACAGTTATAAAACAGTTATCAAATATTGAATTGTTTCATAATGCACAGAAACTACATTTTTTAATGTCACCGCGTATTACATTCTATGCATGAATAGATACTCCCCCCCCCCCCCTTAGTATAGAGGATAATAACGAAGCAAGCCTTGTCCGGCTCACGAGAGGATAGGACAGGATTCTGGTGGTGTGAACAGGGCGAGAAATGGAGGTATTCCGAGCAAGGCAATCCCCATTCACACGGGAACAGAATGGAGCAGTGTGAACAGAGCAAAAGCGGGGTTTATGGCAGGGTGTGGGGGGGAGGGATGGGTAGGGCGGGGTATGCATATTTGAAAATGGGGGAGTGGAGTGGAATTTTGAAAGGTGGCCCGTCCGTCCGCAAGGGGCAGCGATGCCGGTGCTGCCCATTGCCCGACTGACGCATCTTCGGTCAGTCTGTCTGTGTGTCTATGCGGCCTAGCTGCGGCACGCTCTGAGCCCCCCCCCCCTCCCAAACGTACATTCTGCTTGCTCTTCGTCTCTCTCTTCTGCTTTGCCAAGCGTGCCAAGTTCTGCTCCCTTTCTCGATCCCCCCGCTATCGCTGCCCTCGCTCGCTCGCTCGCTCTCTGTCGCCCTCTCTGTTCTCTTCTTTTCTTTTATCTGCGTCTGTGTTTTAGGTCGTTGTTCCAATTTGTTTCTTCTCTTGATCTAGCAGTGCGCCGCCCGGAGAGTACTGCACTGTCGATTTTGGTTGATTCTGCTGTCGCTTTTGAGGTTTGTGAGGTGTCGATTGCGGTTTGGTACGACTGCGTCCGCGGTCCTGCTTGGCGTGGACTTATTGGTTTGCGGATTAGGTTCTTGATCTTCGGAGTGTCGAAGGTGAACTCATTTTGGGTATCACATTTTGGTTTCGTTTCGGAGGGGGCTGTTACTTTGTTTGTTTGTTTTGGAATTGGTGAATATTCTAGGATTTCGTACTTGTGATGATGTTTTGTTAGTACAGCCTTTTTTTTTTTTTTTTTTTTTTTTTTTTTCTTTTTCGGTTGTTCTCTTTTAAGTTGCGTTTTTCTGAACTTGAGGTTTTCGGGGATTGATGTTGATTGTGCAGCAGAGTGTGGATTGGATGCTATGAGTCCGGTGCGCCCTTGGAATTGGTTCGAGGAGGGAATGATGCAGTAATTTAGAAGAGTGTGAGTAGCAGTTGACTGTCGTTAATAGAGCGAGGATGGAGAGGCCTCCTAGACCTCCTCAACGGATCTCAAGACGTGTGTTGGGGAATTGGGAGAAGCTCGTGAACAAAGCGGTTCGCACAGAGCTGCTGGGCCGAGATAGGTACAATCGTGATGGCAGGCGGGTTGGGAGCAGTTACGGACAGAGGGGTGAGAGGACGCCCCAGTCTTTAGCACAGCAGGCCGATATTGATGCCGTCTTGCAAGCTTCCGACGAGATCGGACGTCATAACAGTCAAGTGGCTTGTATTTGTAAGTTTTCTTCGAATATCTTAAACCAATCGTTCTTGAAATAATTACCTCTCCAATACCTGTCTAGTTCGTCACTGCAAGTTTTCATGATTTATCCCTGTATGTTGCTATGACTGGCCCTTCATTTTATTGTAATCAAGAGATGAAATCTCTTGCTCTCTAAGGGATTGACTCTGCATTAAGTTCCATGCTTTGGCGCTGCGTTGTCATTGTGGTTTGTTGTTGTTGCTGTCAAAGGAAGTGTAGAGATTTCATTTCTTCAGTTTGTAATCTGTTTCTTTGAAGATGCTTGGAGTTAGTGAAATAGTTCAGGAAAGACCTGAAAGCATAGTGATTCTAATTTTTGCTCTAGTTAGACGCCTGTATGTATGGTAAGGTTCTTTGTTTAGCGGCATTACGTTACACGTTCTTTGGATACAAGCTTCAAATCTTTATGGTTTCCTCGTTACGTTATGTGTTCGGCCTGTTGTTTACCGTATTGCGATATCCAATTTGGTAACCTTGTTCTCAGAATTGCATCTATGTATGAACATTTTCTATTCGGATCGTTTTGAATATGGTCTTGATAATGTTGATAGCCGCCGTGTAGTCATAAAATTGATAATGGCATGTGGGCTGTGGCCAGTGGCTGAGCATGCATACAGGTTAACTCAACAGTTGGATCCAAGAAGTGAAGGGAGGGGTGTTTTGCAATTCAAAACCGGTTTGCAGTCTATTATCAAGGTTCTTAATATACTGAATCCCCTACATCCTGAAAATATATCTAATTTAGTGAATCACAAGGACATTCTTTCATGGAATAGTGCATGTGAAGATCACACTCCTTACATTGCTATTCCTTAGTTTCCATTGGTGTTCCCCTTTTGCTTTGACGGATTTTTTTTATTTCAGTTTATTTTTTTCGATATATGACGGTCGAAATATTCATAGAGCAGCATTTCCAGAGTGGGGTGGTTAATGCCATGATACTTCACGCTACCATTCTTTTGACCCTTCAGCTGCAAGGTTCCCATGATATTATTGAACTTATTGCTATCCCCCTCAGGAGATGAATTATGGGGTTGTTTGAGTTGCAGCAAAGGAAAGCAATGCAAGAAGGCACACACGATCGAAGTCAAGACATTAGGATACTTCAGGAGTATTATAAGCGGTATAGGGCAGAAAACCGCATTGATCAACTTGAGGCTCAAGCTCAGTTTTCTACTGACCTGGTGCCTGACAGGTGCATTTACGTTATTTTTATGCTCTGTTCATTTAACCAGTAGTGAGATGCTCTTGTCCCTGGGCTGATGTCAGATGTGAGTTACTACGTGCTTGTGCGACCTTTCCACACCGAAAGTTAAGTTATGGAGAAACAGCTACAATAATGGCATACGTCGTGGAATGAAAACTGATCAACTGATTGGAGTTTTTCAAGCTTTCTGCTTATACATTTGAATTCCTGATTTACCGTTTTAGCATTTCGACTGTTTACAGTCATGAACAGAGTTTTGAAAGGTTGAGAAAAGTTTACGAAACTGCAAGAATTTTGGATGATGTTGTAAATGCTCTATTGAAAGAAGCAGAGCCTGAAGATGTTTCAAGACTTCAGAACTCCGATGTAAGCTCATTTCAATTTTTTTCAGTGCGTTCTGAGATCTTGTAACAATATGGTTTTTTGTCTGTTCATTGGTGTTATTGGGTCATGAATGATGGCACCCTATTGTTTACAGGAAAAAAGGGTTATGGAGGAGGATGCCCAGAAGCTTAAGGGGTTTAAACCCTACAATATTTTGCCACCTCAAAGGTTCTTAGCGGAGACCGTGGAGGCCCCTGGTATTCTTAATCCATTTGAACACTTCCCTGAGGTGAGACTCTCTGAGCCATAATCGATCTTTGTGGTTGATTCAATCTGAAATGTACCATTGTGCTAACCTAAGTCAAGGATCCAAAATTAGATTTTCAATGTACCTATCAAGTGGGTTTTGTCATTACTAGGATGGTTGGAAGTATGGCTTTGATTCAGATTGCTTTAAGCGCTCCTGTCTTGTTGATAATCTGATGGTCACTTTGTAACAGTTTCAGGATTTATATTTAGTAAAGAGTGCATTTCCTCCCTCTTTGGCACGGGTCGTGTAGATTCGAATGCCTTCGATTGGATGTTGACTGTGACTTAACTTTTTGTGGCTATCCTTAGGTGGTCGGTGCAACAAAAGCTCTGCGATATACAAAAAACTTGCCACGGTTCCCTTCTGACTTTATCGTACCACAGGACCACATCTTGGACATTTTTGATTTCTTGCACTATGCGTTTGGATTCCAGGTAAATCATAAGGTTGCATCTTTCTGTGGTTCATTGGATATGAACGTGGCACATGTTAACTGGTTAATAGCTAAACCTCGCCTAAATGAATGATCGTTTACTTACATTTGAGTTCATAGTCTATCCGTGTTGCTGAGGCCTGGTCGAGATCCTCTTTTTTATATATATATATATATATATATATATATATATATGTTTGCGCATGCTTGTGGTTGCAGAAAGACAATGTGGCCAATCAGCGGGAGCACATCATTTTGCTCTTAGCCAGTGCTCAGTCACGTTTGTGTACTCTCGATGGTAGAGACGGTGACAGTGAGAAGGTGGTTCAGTTCATCTTATGATTTTGTCTTGTGCTGAAATGTACTTAATAGCTAATTTTATGTACGTTAGATAGATGATTGAAGTTTCACTAAACACATGGTCTGTATTTTGTCTATACGTGCTGATGACTTCAATTGTCCCATGGTCCTAGCTGTAGTTACTTTTATGAGTCATAATCTTTTGTTACTCGGTGTGTGATCACAACCCGATTCTGATATAATTTTACTCAATAGTGGGCAGATAAGGCTATCACTGATGTACATGATCGGATCTTGCAAAACTACGTACGATGGTGTCATTTCTTAAGAAGAGAGCCTCAAAACAAGCGGTGAGATTCTGCTGTTTTCTTGTATTGATTTGTTGAAATGAAGAACCACCATTCTCCGCAAGAATCCTCAGATGGCGCACATCAGAGTAGAGCTTTTGTGATCTCATGCGCGGTTGAAACGCATTTTAAAAATCTTTGTTTGGTTATGCAGGGCCTTCACTCAACAAAGGAGACTTTGCTTAACTGCTCTGTACCTCTTAGTATGGGGTGAGGCTGCGAACCTTCGCTTCATGCCGGAGTGCCTTTGCTATATTTTTCATCACGTAAGTATCATCGATAAGACATGTGGCTTGAACTTCACTTCTGAGTAGAAGTTGATATCGTTTCTATCGTCGCTATTGATTCGGGTTTTGTTCTGGTTGCACTATTGGAGTTGAATACATGTCTTGTATCGTCTAGCTATCAGCCTCCAGATCTCTTTGTTTTGACCTTAGAGATGCTTGTTTGAATTCAAGTTCTGACGTTTATCGGGGTGGTTGTAATGTTCATTAACAGCTGGCGGATGAGTGTTTTGACTTGCTGGAAAGGACTTACGTTGAAAGGTCAAAGACAGTAAAGCAAAACGAAGACGGCTCCATAGAATTTTCGTTCTTGGAGCAGATCATCACCCCTGTATACAATATTGTGGCTAAGGTACCTTTCTCATGTATTTCAGAATTTGATGTAGTGTTAGAACTGTGATAATCAGCTAGTCGGAAGATGATTTTGTAGGGATCGCAATGCTGGTTCTGAAATAAGGCGTAACTCTTCTTCCAAGTTCAAGAGTCAACTCATAGATTCCTTACATTCCATACTTAACTATGAGTTTGCTGATTATTTAATCCTTGAATAAATGGTCTCTTGATGCTTATCCTGAACATTAGTTCAAATATGTATTTGGCTGTAAAGATGGCACCGGCACAAACTGTTTCGAGGGATTGAAAAAAAGTTGGGTTTGTCTGGTGTTTTACCTGCTTGTACTTTCAGTGACTGCCATGGATCGGAGGTGCCTGGGTGGGAGCCTGTTTACGATCCAGTTACTGACAATCTATGGTTTGAATGTTTGAGTGCAGGAGGCAAAAGCCAGTCAGAATGGGAAAGTACCACATTCGCACTGGCGGAATTATGATGATTTCAATGAATACTTTTGGTAAGCCATGTCTCATTCACGTTGTATCATGTTTTGAATGTTTGTTCTTATCTCCTATTTTAGGGGCATACATATAAAATGTATCTCAGCAAGAAAAATGTGGCTTGAACGGTGTTGGGAATTCTCAAATTGTACATTATATGCAAAGTCAGTGGGAACCTCTTCATTAGAAGTCACTGTTGTGTTTAAGATTTCTAGGTCAGAGATGATGAAATTCTTATCTGCTGGGTGCAGGCAACCTTCTTGCTTTTTGGAACTGGGGTGGCCTTGGCGAACAGATTCAGGTTTTTTCAGGCCTCCAGTAATGAAGGATGCTAAGGTTGGTTGGCAAATCACTCCTAATTCAGCTTGTAATTTCTCTCCCTGAGACGATCGTTAATTTCAACGCTGTATTTACCCTCACTATTGTGCTATGAGTTTTGATATAGGCTTGTAGCTCAATTCTGACTTAAACATGGACATCTTATACTAACTCCTAAGATTGTATTGCTTGATGACTCTCTTCACAAATTGGCAGCAGGTGGCAGCCCCTACTCAAAATGCGGCACAGCCTCGTCGAATCAAACATAAAGTTGGAAAAGTACATTTTGTTGAGCATCGTTCAGGATTTCATTTATACCACAGCTTTCACCGGCTGTGGATATTCTTAGTCTGTATGCTTCAGGTATGATGCTTTCTTAATCATATAGGAGTTGATCGCATGGTTTTTTATCCGATGCAGCCTTCTGGTTTTTCTAATGGCTAACTTGAAGTACGGACAGTACCTCTTAATTATGGACGTTATTTTTGTTCGTAAACCTCTAATATGTCATGCCGACTTAGACATAACAATTTTCATTGTTCGTGTTTGGTATTTCAGGGATTAACCATATGGGCTTTCTGTAGCGAGGACGGAAAGTTGAATCTTCATGTGCGGACTATCAAGAAGATAATGAGTGTTGGTCCCACATTTGTCGTCATGAAATTTATACAATGTGAGTTCTCTTTGCTCCCATTATTGGACGGTAACATTGTTGAAAACTTCTGACGTTCATTAGGAGTTTCGTCCAAAGGACTTTAAGAAACCATTAAAATAATTATTAAAATTCTTTCATAGATGAACTACCTAGAAAGAAAGTTGAATGTGTGGTAGCTGATCTGCTACCACATTAGGCAAATTAGAGGAATTGGTTCTTTAATTTAGGGTGTTTACAATTGTGCAGTTTAAGCTTTCCGGAATAATTGGTTTTAATGTATGCCGGATGAAGTGTTCTATTCACTATTTTAGGATCCTTTGAATAACAATTGGTAATGTGTGATTTAGGTAACACATACTCAGGCAGTAAGCATGTTTGATGTTGATTGGATTAACCCCTTCAATTCTCATCATTTCATACCATTCTGAGCAATGAAAGGTTTCGCATTTGGTGCTTTTGTGCTGCAGCGATATTTGACGTGGTGTTCATGTGGGGAGCGTTTAAAAGCACTCGTCTCACGACAGTGGCTAGGATGCTCCTGCGGTTGCTTTGGTTCGCATCCCTATCAGCTGCTATCTTGTTTCTCTATGTGTAAGTTTTTTAACATTCTCCGCTCAAGCGCACTGCTTTCAATATGAAGTTTATTTATAAGAGCAGCATCCTTCCCTCTGCTACCACTAGTCAGTGAAATTAGTCGAGGGGCTTAAGTTTTGATAATACCGTCTCTTAAACCTGTCATTCTTGCCATAAAACTCGAGTAAAATCCGGCTATCGTTGTTCTTGCTGAAAAGTTTCTCCGATGTTGCTCCTTATAGGTTGTGTCAGTAAACTTGTCTTTGCTTTCAATAGTGCGTTTTAGGTCAAACGTTCCTCTAATTTTACCTTGGCGGATTATTTTTGTACGGCATGTTCGTTGTATGGTCTTTTGAGGATATTGCTTCTTAGAGGACCTAAATGTTTTTTTTAAGCTTTTGATTTCTTTGTTAATATGTCTTGTACGTCCTCGCGGTACTGATTCAATCTAGAAAATTTCAGAAAAACCCTTCAGGAGGATGCAAGAAACGATGGCTCAGGTTCATGGTTTCGTATATATTACATTCTAGTGTCAAGCTATGCTGGAGCAAATGTGTTGTTCATCTTCATTTTGCGCATACCTTGGCTTCAGAGGCAAGCCGCCAAGCATTCAAATGTGTATTTTTTCCAGTTTGTCAAGTGGCTTCATCAGGTAGAGATATTTTTTGAAGCCATCTTGTATGCATTAGATTGTTATTATTCATTTCTACTCCTGAAATTTTGGCTTGATATGTACGTTTCTCGCATGCTCTTTTAATATTATCCCTCTAGTTCTTGTTTGTTTTATTCAGCAACTGTGCAAGTTGTCTAGTTGGTCCGTGAATCTGAACACGTTTTTGAACACAGGAGCGGTACTATGTCGGGCGCAGCATGTATGAAAGAACGCGAAATTACGTGAAGTAAGCACTTAATTCGATTAATTTTTTTTTGAATCCAGTTCTCGTCAATGAAATGATGTACTTCAATGTATTTAGAAGATGATGTGGTATCCATTTTGTTTTGATATATTTTGGTTTATTCAATTCTAGAATATTTGATTTGTTTATTCAAGAAATAGAGCACAATTAGCCATTTATTCTCTACATTGAAAGTGAATAGAATATTTTTCTTTTGTATGACGTGCCACTTTGCTATTGAAACAGATACTCATTATTCTGGATTTTTATATTAGCTTGCAAATTTTCTTTCGCTATGCATTTCCAGGTAAACTCTATACATGGTATCTCGTAGTATTTTTCCCTTCTTTTGCAAGTTCTGAAAATGAGCAAGACTTCATTGGATGAAGCAGACGTTTACTGTAAGGTCCGAATAAAAAATCCATGACAGATGGATTCGTTGATATTGGAGTTCGAATCTGAACTGAGCTTAGGTGTCGATGACTTCGAGTATGAATGTAATAAATCCATGCTTTGTTCTTTACTTAGAATAGAGGATTATGTTACAAGGTTGGTTTGCTTCTGACAAGTACTGCTGTGACAGATTATGCCCCTAGTTACCCCTACAAGACTTATCATAGGATTCGACAACATAGTATACAAGTGGCCTGATTTTGTTTCGGACAGTAAGTGCTAAACTTATGAAATATTGTTCGTATTTGTACTCGAACACCGCATTAGTTCAGTACCTACCTGTCTTTGCATCATTCGGAGGTTGTGCAAGTTTGTTTTATTATTTATTTCTCTCTACTCTCCGAGTGGATCGCATTTGAGTTCAAAACTCGTTAATAATTTGATGCTTCTGTATCTTCGTTTCGCAGGTAATCACAACGCCCTCTCAATTTTGTCGATTTGGGCACCGGTTCTGATGGTAGCGCCTTTTTTTTTGTCCCTAAAATTCACAAATTCTATCATATGCGCACTCGATGTCGTGTGTCTTTTTTTAAGTTCATTATTATTATTATTATTATAAATCTTCTTAGACGAGGTGAACCTCTTCAAGTAGTTGTTGAGATTTTCTGAGTTGTACCGCGATGCCTTGATTTGCTGCCTTATATCATTTGATAATATTCTTTAGTATGTGTCAGCATTAAAAGTTATCCAATAGTGACTTCTACGTCATTATCTCTGCTCCGCAGATTTACTTCTTGGATACTCAAGTTTGGTACACTGTGGTATCAGCCATACTAGGAGGTATTGAAGGTGCACGGGATAAGCTTGGAGAGGTCTATTCCTTACCCTTAAAGAGTCGTGTACTTCGTTAGCGATTACATATCTGGAGTGTGCTGCCCTCACTTGATCGTGATGTTTTCTTGATACAGACCTTCATTGATCATGAATTTTTTTAGGGTATGTATTTGAATTATTGACTCCGCTTTGTTGAATAGATCCGAACTTTGGAAATGCTGCGAAAGAGGTTTCCAAACTATCCTGCAGCTTTTGTAAAGCACATGCTACCGCCTATTAACAGGTCCGTTTTTCCTCCGTACCTTCTGAGGTGTTCATAATATCCATTTGATAGAGATTTCTGATTGGTATTTTTTGCTTGAAATAGAAATTTAAAGGTGTCTATGTCCTCTCAGGTGTGACATGAAGTGGTTTGTGTACTCCTATGTATGACCACCAAATAATGTGTCATCTGGAAGCCGATGTTAATTAAATTGTCATTTTGTATTGGACTATTTCGTCTGAAATACTAGTGGCATCTTACTGCAGGTTTAGCTCCGCCTCATCAATTCAGGAACCTGAGCCATCAACTCCCAAGGTGTTCTCATGTTCCTTGCTTTCTTGCAGGAACCAAGACTTCACTTTCGTCTTGGTCATTTTTCACAGTTTTTGATTTTTGTTGTTAAATGCGGTACATCGCTGCAAAAAATACAATTGCCTTTCCATTTTCAATGCACTGGGTTTTGTTGTTTGAGACACTATATGTAAGAGATCTGGTCAACCGCACTCATTTGCGACTTACGTACTTGCAAATGATTCAAGTCATCTCGCTTGGCAATATTTCAATTGTGATGATTCTGTCGGGTGATTATTACGTTGTATATTGCGTCCAGCTTTGTTCGGTGCTCAATCTCTAGCTTTGTTCTAACCGCACAGGCTAAGAAGACTAATAAGCGGGATGCAATCAGGTTTCAGCCCATCTGGAACCGTGTCATCAAGTCACTCCGCGAGGAAGATCTTATAAATAACAGGTGTTAGTTGTGAAGTTCTCTTACAGTCTCTTCTGCTCGGTATGTTGGCAGGCGTGTGATTTAATGCATAATTTCCACTTATCGTAAAATAAAACGACGTTTCTTTGAATTTTTTACAAACATTTGTTGCGAATTGTTTGACATGCTATGTAACTTCAGTGTGGTCGTTTCAGAGAGAAAACTTTGCTGAAGATGCCTCCTAATTTAATGTATCATACAAACGGAACACCAAACAAACTCATTCATTGGCCATTATTTTTGCTTGCTAACAAGGTACTTTGATCATTACTTGCATATTGAATACCTCATTTGTACTCTATTTTTACGTCTTTTTCACTATAAATTTAAAATTGAGCCATCTCTTATGTCCCTCAAGATTATACGCAGGGATTCGGGAAATGTTTCTGTGTTCTGATTGTTAGTCTGAGGCAGGTGCACATCGCCGTTGAACTTGCCGCTCAGCATAAGACACAAGACATCCTCGGACTTTGGTCCAAAGTGCGCGAGGATGAGTATATGGGTCATGCTGTGCAGGAGACTTATGAAACATTGGAACCTTTGTTGCATTTGGTTTTGAATTCTGAAGGTCGTCGATGGTGAGTTCTGCTGTCTTTTGCATCACTTATGATAGATATCGTACACTTTTTTTTCGCATTCGTTTCACCCTTGAATGACTATTTTAAAAAAATTCTGCAATTAATTTCCGCATGATTCAAGTTTTTTGACAACAATAATGCTGTTAATATCGTGTAGACTCGTACAACCATAATGCTTGATTGAATTTATGGTATTTTTGTTCTCGGATCGATGCCTTGATTTCTTATTTTGGTTGATCAGATCTTTATTTTAGTATGTGGACTAGCAAGTGGATATTTGGTTTTTCACGGATTTGAGTGGTCAAAATTAGTCAGGCTTTGTGCGAGTCAAAGAACTGGACAAAGTTGCTGAATTTCATAGCTGTTATGTTGACTCTGTGCTCATGTTCTCAATGGTTCACGAGGTTTGATGTTACGTTGTTTGATTCATCAGGGTTAGTGAGATTTTTAACTCACTAAGAAAATCCCTTAACAACGGGGGTGACGAGCGTGACTCTTTCAAAATGAACAAGCTAAGGGATGTTCTAGTGAAACTTCGGGATTTGACTGAGCATTTGGTAAGCGGCTACATGAGTTACAGGACCCTTCCCAGTCTCTGCCTGCCCACACTTGATATATACATCCCCTTCTCTACTAAAAATATTAGCCATTCAGTTCATATCTCATTGTTGCAATAGTTTAGCGTCTGACGTAATTTGCATGTAGGGTAACGAACATTCTCCAGAACGTCAAAACAAGGCATCGGATGCCCTTAAAAAGCTGTATGAAGTTGTGATGCATGACTTCGCTTCAGAAAATTGCAGGTTATTTATTTTCACATATCTTTGAACTTTGAACTCACTATTTTGATGCTCTATTTGAAATGCAATATCATGCTATTTAACGGGGCTGCGATGCGCACAATATTTCATCTTGATGTACTATCGCACTATTATAGACCGTTTGATTTCAAACACTCTGAGGAAACTCGATCTCTGGACTATTTTGATTTGAAGATTTATTTTGGATACAGGTGCTGATCTTTGGTTAATGTTGACGATTTTGATTACCTGTACTGATGTAGTTGATGGTTGGGTATTATTACTGCAGGCGCATATTCACGGAATCATCCGAGCATCAAAGAGCCCTCGTTGAAGAAAGCCTATTTTCAGAACTGAATTGGCCTAATAAATCTGGAGTAAGTATCCTCCCCGTAGACTTTGGTATTAAAGTTTGAAGACATTTGGCTCATGTCTGGTTCTACCATTGTGCATTGTGGTATTCTATTCTACTTTTTGCATCTGCTCCATGCCTGCCAAACATTTCGATATGCATTTTTATTTTTAGTTTAGAAATACTGTTTACAAGCATGACTCCTGTGTATATTTGGCCCAGTATCGTGATTTAGTGAGTTTGCTCCGTCGTATTTTTGGACTAGAATGCACTCACATCTGTCAATTTGGACTTTGTACAATCAAGTTTGTTTCTTTTAATGAACAATTATGAATAGTTGCAGCAGGCGAACCTCCAAGATTCAGCTTGAATTTTGCTTTTCATTCGTTTAATCGTTAGTTGCAGTGGACACGGTGTATATGCCTGATTAAGCCTTTCTATTTTGTTGCAGCAAAAGCAAGCTAGACGACTTAACAACTTACTCACGGTTCAGAAAATCAAAGATCAGGAGGGTAAGACGAAAACACTTAATACCGAGACTGTACCTCACAATTTGGAGGCCCGTCGTCGTCTGCAATTCTTTACGAATTCCTTATTCATGCATATGCCACAAGCACCTCCTATCCGCAAAATGTTCTCTTTTTGGTGAGTTTTTCTTGTTTGAAGCTCAAGGATTTATAGTAATATATCCCTACTCTGACTCCGTATTCCTGCTTTGTCGGGAGCTGAAGCCTGAGATTGGTGATTTTCTGGGTAGTATTTCTTGGTATGTAAAAATACATTCTTCTGTCCCTGGATGAGTTGATTCTGATCTGCGCATAAGTTCTCAGATTGTCTGTGCTTCGTGTAGTGTGTTTACACCTTACTACGAGGAAGATGTGATGTACGACATGGAAAAGCTTTATAAAGAGAACGAAGATGGCATCTCTATTCTATTCTACTTACAGAAAATATATCCGGGTTGGTCCCTCTTTTTGCATGAAATTCTTTTGCGTAGTCTTTTCTTTCATTTGATCCAACTGCGTGTTCAAGAATGTCCTTGATTTGTAGTCGATCGTTGCCTGGGTGAACCAGTTTCTTTTCTTCCTAGAGTCTTAGGTCAATCTATGATTATTTCAATATTGTACTGCTTTGTCATTTAAATGGTATTGTGCATCTTTTCTTGTTGTTTTGGGCAGATGAATGGCAAAATTTCTTAGAAAGAATTGGACTGATCGAGAACATAGTTTTCCGAGAAGTTGGAAATCCAAATCCTGAGAAGCATAAAGAATTGAAGCTTGAATTGCGACTTTGGGCCTCATATCGTGGTCAAACACTTGCAAGAACAGGTACAAGTTGTTGATTATGTGAAATCGTTGATTTGTGGCGTCACTGTTTGTTGTTTGACATTGATGGACCAGCTTAATTCCTTCTGTGTACTCAGTATAAATGAGAATTGTATGAAGTTTTTTTCAATTGCATAACTTAGGATGCAGGAGGAATTACGTGCTCAAGCAACGTGTTGGTCGATTTCAAAATGTGGGTTAGGTCTTACTCACTTGATTCTTGTGTCCTCTTGAAAACCAATTCAATGACTTCGACTTAATATTTTGCAGTTCGAGGAATGATGTATTACAAAGAGGCTTTAGTAATACAGGGGCAACAAGAAGGTGCTTCTGGTGGAGGTATAACCGTTCCTCATGTGTTGTTTCATCTCACGCATTTCGACAATGCTTGTAAACCTCTGTTTTCAGCATTTCTTGACCGTCTTTCGTATTCTAATTATGTCATTTTCAGTATAGTTTCTCCTTGTTGGGGTTTTTTCTGACCATCTTTTGTCCTTTATACTCGTAGTTTAGCATCTCCCTGATTGGTTCATCGACTTTCGAGAAACATCATTGGTTATAGGTGGTGTCCGTTGAGAGCGAGCTGCAGTTCTTTGGTGAATGTTAATTTGAGTTGCTGTGGCTAGTTGCTATGGGCACTTGTAAGCGGATTTGTTTTGTATCTATGTCGTGCAGTTATGTTCCCTTCAAATCAAAAGTCCGCCCGTTGTTCTGTCCTAGGGATTATAACTTTCAGTTGCATATTTGTGACTGAATAAAGTTTGATTTTCTTTAATCTCTAGTTCTTTTTCTTTTACTTTACATGCAGATCTTGAAGAGGGTATTCCTCCATCTTTAGTTGAAGCGCAAGGATCAATTCAGCGTAGTGCTTGGGCTCAGGCTGAGTTGAAGTTTACATACGTTGTTACTTGTCAAATTTATGGTGAACAGAAAAGGAAAGGGAAAGTTCAAGCAGCGGACATATTATACCTTATGCAGAAGTAAGTTTACTGGCCAAATTCCATTCATTACCCAGTCTAACAGCAAATACCAGTATTTTCGCATTTGGTATCCGGACTGGAGAAGTGTTGATGATCATGTCAGTTGCTGTGATCACTATAATCATTCCCCCACCTTCGCTTCTTACTTTTTTGATGAGGACAGCTGTATCGTTTTATTCATCTATTTCCAAATAAAAGTCATTGGAAATCTATTTGGTAATGTTTGGAATTTGTGATAGCTTCTATGCAGTGACGTTTAACTCATTCCATTTTCAGAATATCTAGGATGGTTTACTGTATCGATTACTCAGTACTTATTCATATTAATGAGCCATAATCTTGTTCTTAATGTTTTCTGGTTCGCATCTGCTTACATTTCTAGCAATCTTTTGTGTGTTTTAGTCAATTATGAATTTCATGTATTTCAGGCATGATTCCTTGCGGGTTGCCTACATCGATGTTGTGGAAAGCAGTGGAAAAGACAAGAAACCCTCTTACTACTCCAAACTTTGCAAAGTAGATAGATCTGATCCAAAAGGATCAGGTGCAAACCAAAGGGATCAGGTGCGCACCTCAACCTCTACACTTTTACTTCCTACGTAGAGATTTTTCATGCGCTTTGGAATGTTCATTAGTTCACCTTTACATTCCAAAGGGGTCTATTCTCAAGACAAACCCTGAAGTCAAGTTGGTCGCTCGGCGGGTTTTATAATGTGTATATTTCTGATAGTGTTGCTTTAGCTTTTCTTCATGTGTTATCATCTCGTAGCTACTAAACGAATGGTATTTTACTTCTCACTGCTATCGAGACAACAAGCTTTAAAGTGTTAAGGGGTAAACTATTTTAATGCAGGAAGTATATTCCATTAAGCTCCCCGGAGACGTTAAGCTTGGTGAAGGAAAACCCGAGAATCAAAATCATGCAATAATTTTCACGCGTGGAGATTGCATCCAAACTATTGACATGAATCAGGTTTGTTTTAAGGTTTCAAAATTTCAGGGTTTAGAAATACAAAGTTAAAAACTTGAGTTAGGGTGTTCTAGTGTGTGCCTGACTGATGCTTGGAATTCTATTCGCTGAAAGTCATCTTCCGATTGTTTTAGGACAATTCCATGGAAGAAGCTTTTAAGATGCGGAACTTGCTAGAGGAATTTAAACAACCACACGGGTTGCACCTCCCTACCATACTTGGCGTTCGTGAGCATGTTTTCACAGGAAGGTTTGTGCCCATAAGTCAGATCTAGCTGATTTTATATTGCTCGACAAAAGGTCATAATTATTTCTTACAAAATAGAATTTAAAGGTTGTGCGATTGTATCCTGCCGTAGTAAATTGTGATCAATATTTCTTTGCGTGTTTTGACGTTTGATCATGAGCTTCAGTAATAATCCACTATGTATGTTCTGGAAGCTGTTAACATCATATCTTGCTTATTCATTCTGATCCGAGTTGGTGTTGCAGTGTGTCTTCGTTGGCTTGGTTTATGTCTATGCAAGAGAGTAGTTTTGTTACACTTGGTCAACGTGTGCTTGCGAGACCTCTCAAGTAAGTTCTTCCTTTAAACATTTCTATATTTGAATTAATTTTTTTTTATGACCACCGTCAGCAATTTTTTCTTCGAGTTTTGTTCTTATGTAACAGCCTATCACCCTTTTGGTTTAGATGGTTGGAGATGCTAAGAATGAATGTCGTCTCCAACTGTGAGGGCCTGCTGCTTCTTCAATGCCGTTTGGATGCACTTCGAATTGCAGTGCTTAGACCACTGATATGTGTGTTCTATATTTTAACTAGGTAATCCTGGTTGCATATGTACAGGGTAAGAATGCATTATGGCCATCCAGATGTATTCGACAGGGTATTCCACATAACGAGGGGTGGTATCAGTAAAGCGTCACGTGTTATCAATCTTAGCGAAGATATTTTCGCAGGTTCCTTGATTTTGAAACACTTTGAATCTCCGCCAGTGTATTTTTGAGCAGGGTGTTCTTTGTGTTGTCCTGAAAGAAAGATTTTATTGTATCATTTTCATCTTGATTCCAGTTTTTCAATTTAGGGGCTAAATTGAGTCAATTATAAATTATGTAAGGTCAACATTGAAACAGTCATCTTTACTATGAAGGGAAGTCCTTAAGGTATTGAATCGCGCAAATACTTTCAGGTTTCAATACTACGCTCAGGCTTGGTAATGTTACACATCATGAGTATATTCAGGTGGGTACTTGATTGAAGGGATTATCAGCCTTTTTTTTCCGGTTCCGTCCAATGTGTTTGCTCTCATTATGGCTTTTAGGTTGTGAACATCAAAAATAATAGATACTAATGTAGTGTTAGCTGTGTGTTCAAGCCATCCCAGGTTATTCGATGTGTTGCAGCTGCGAATGGATGCGCCTCTTGTACATTTATTTGAATGACGATAACTTTAGTTTGATTCTGTTGTTTTCATTGCAGGTTGGTAAAGGACGAGATGTTGGATTGAACCAAATTGCGCTCTTTGAAGCCAAGGTGGCGAGCGGCAATGGAGAACAGACGCTGAGTCGAGATGTATACAGATTGGGCCAGCTTCTCGATTTTCCTCGAATGCTGTCGTTTTTCTATACATCCGTTGGTTTCTACGTATGCACAATGGTTAGTCTCATGCACGATGTATACTTGTGTGCATTTTGTTCTGAAATCACATGTTGTGTTCATGGCGTGTTAGGTCCAAAACTTTTTACTGAGGATGTATGATGAGATGTCTTGATTACGGCGTCGTTCTGGTAATACCTGTTGTTCCGTAATTGTCTATTGCGCAGTTTTGTAGTTTCTGCGGAGTAACAGTTTTTGTCGGTGTTTTAAGTGGTTTGTCTCAACTATAATTTTGATCATGACGGGTGCAAGAACTAACTTGGTTGTTCTGCAGATGACTGTTTTGACGCTGTATGTTTTTCTGTATGGCAAGGCTTATCTCGTAAGTTCCCTTCAGTTATTGTAAGCGTTATCTTCGTTGGTCAGTCATTTGTAATTATTGTTGAAGCATAGTTCTCTGACATTCACTCTTGTCAGCTGCTCGTGCCCCTCACTATATCTTAGGGCTCGATGAACTTTTCATACTGAATCTTTTTTTTGTATTCTAGGAAACAAATCAAATTCAAGTGCTTGTCTAATTATCCTGATGATCTCGTGATACTGATGTTTTCTGCAACCGTAATGCAGGCCCTTTCAGGGGTGGATGCGTCCTTAAGAAGAAACAGTCAAATTTTGCAAAATCCTGCTCTGGAATCAGCACTGAACACCCAATTTCTGTTTCAGATTGGTATTTTTACAGCAGTACCTATGATTGTGAATCTCATACTTGAGCAGGGCATTTTAAAGGTATGATGCCGTTTAGTTGGATGCAGTGATGTAAAAGTTATTATAGCTGTCTTGTACGTCTGGCTTGTCACTACTGTTTTAGTGTCAAATTGATTTTACAACTGTTCATTGAAATATGTTGTGTGTCTAAAGTCAGTGCTGATACTGGTTGGAGTGGTTCAGGCTATTATCAGCTTCTGTACAATGCAGTTGCAGTTGGCTTCAGTGTTTTTTACATTTTCCTTGGGAACACGAACTCATTACTTCGGGCGCACAATCCTTCATGGAGGTGCTAAGGTACCAAAGTCCTTGGTGTTCGTTATAGTGCATCGTCTAAAAATATGCTCGGTTTTATCAAACTTTCAGATTCATGTTTTATGGTTTGAGAGAGAGAGAGAGAGAGAGAGAGAGAGAGCGAGCATTCTTATCAGACTTATACTAGTTATAACCTTGCTCTTTGCTAAATAGTTCATTCGAATGCGGACTCATCTCCACGATGGTATGTTGCAGTATCGATCCACTGGGAGAGGATTTGTGGTAACCCATATTCATTTTGCTGAGAACTATCGATTATACTCTCGTAGTCATTTCACAAAAGCGTAAGCGCCTGTTTATATGGACTTGTTTCTCATTTATCAAGAGCTTTTTTGGTAGAGATCATTGCATTTTATTTTTTATCTTCTTTTTGGTTCGTGATGATCTTTACTTGTTCCGCTCAATACTAAATTTTTGGAACTGTGCGAATGTGTACACTATGATGAACATGGTTATTATTTCAAGTTGACCTTTTATTTCTAGTAAGTTGTTAACGCAAAGTTCTCGTCCTGCGCAGTTTGGAGGTTATTATGCTTCTGATCGTGTACTTGGCATATGGAGCTCAGAATCGGACTTCAGTCACTTTTATCTTGCTGACGTTCAGTTCTTGGTTCCTAGCTTTATCCTGGCTTTTCGCACCCTACATATTTAATCCATCTGGTTTTGAGTGGCAAAAGTAAGCACGATTCTTCCCTTTGATTATGTTTCATTGGGAACCTTATTGGTTAGCAATTAAACAGGGTACGATATTCTTTTCACGTTGAAACCTTGAGTACAATGACAATTGAGGATGTGAATTTATGTGCTGCAGGACAGTTGAGGACTTTGAGGACTGGACTAATTGGTTGTTTTACAAAGGAGGAGTTGCTGTCAAAACTGATAACAGCTGGGAAGCTTGGTGGGTTGATGAGCATGTAAGTCGACGTTTTAATCATAAGTTTCGATTTATTTATCATGTTGGTTGCGGGCTGTCGTCTGCACTCGTTTTGTTTGAATTTAGTTGTTCACTCTGGCTTTCAGGGCACTGACGCATCCTGTTACAGGATCACATCCGTACTCCAAGGGGGCGATTTTTGGAGATCATTTTGTCTTTGCGTTTCTTCTTGTTTCAGTATGGAGTAGTTTATTCCCTGTCAGTGACTAGGGGGACCAACAGTATTTTGGTGAGCATTTCATACTTTTACGTTCCTTGGCGCAACACATCTGATTGTTAGATGGGGGGCTTATGTTTTGGACTATACAAGTCAAATCATCGGGGGTAATAATGCGAGAATTTCGTAAATTATTTTTTACCAACATGCCATTTTAATCAACATTTATTTCTAGGGGTTTTGTTTTATTCATATGAGAATTGATAGTTACTAAACTTCTTTTTAATTAACATTTGTGTACCTTGTTGCTTGCATGTGTTTTAGGTGTATCTATTATCACTCATTTTTCAAACTAGAAAAATATTTTGTCTTTTAAATTCAGCGATAGAAATTCCTAGTGCACTTCAAGTGCCTTAAAAATAATGTTTGTAAATATGTTTTGTAAACCTCTCTGTGCAGGATTTTAAATTAATTTGATCGAAGCTTCATGTGCTATCGTCAGATGCTATCTTTTCAAAGTTTATTTTGCACTTTGAGTCCAACTGTATTAACGAACAGTTCCTGGCCACAGGTTTATGCTTATTCATGGTTTGTGCTCCTTGGGATTGTGGTCATTTTTAAGGTGATCTCGTAAGCTTTACGTCTTTCTTTTCTCTTCCTGATGCAGCATGCTGTTATAGCTTGCAACTTATGGATCGATCCTCGACGTTGTCACGAAACAATTTGGACAATTTATATATGTTTTTTGCGAGTCACTTCCTAAAGTAACTCATACTGACATATGTCGAATACTTGGAAATTTTACTTGGCTCCTTCGCATTTTCTGGCATTAACAATTACTTACGTGTACAGTAATGTTTATTAAAATATGTTGTGTGGTGTTTCGGTTGCCAGGTTTTCTTGGTCAGTCAGAAGTCATCGGCAAGTTTTCAGCTTGCTGTTCGGTTGTTCCAAGGATTGTTTTTCTCTTGCCTCTTAGCTGGTCTGATTGTGGCGGTCGTACTTTCTCCTCTCACAATTGGGGATGTCTTCTCTGTTGCTTTGGCGTTGGTTCCCACAGGCTGGGGTCTCCTTTCAGTACGCCACTCCCTTGCCTTCTTTATTCGTTTCTTTAATGCACTTTCGGATCTGGTTGAGCTGTTATGATTTTCAATTTCAATCCATTTAGTAAGTATTCAATTTGTTAATCCTCAATTGTCGATATCGATGTCGATGTTGTGGAAAATCTAATGCCCTGAGTTTAGGATTCTGCATTCCTGAGTCACCTATCAATCCGTAACCAGCTTGAACAACATCCCAGCTATCTTTTGTTCTCTAATATTTGTGCAAGCAGCCATGGCATCTAAGTTCTCGCCTCCTTCTCTTTCAGATTGCCATTGCATTACGACCGTTGATGGAGAAAATGCGATTTTGGAAGTCAGTGCGTGAAATTGCTCGTTTCTACGATGCATGCATGGGCATGTTCATTTTTATACCCATTGCCCTCTTATCTTGGTTTCCCTTCGTTTCCACATTCCAGACACGTCTCGTTTTCAACCAAGCCTTCAGTCGTGGTCTTGAAATCTCTCTTATTCTCAGTGGAAATCGATCCAACCGGAAAACGTAGGCAGCTCATTTCTTTAGTCATCTTCGATACATTCCATATTACAACTCTCTTTCCTAGTCAGCTATATAATAGCCAATGCAGCATCTATCACTAGAAATCTGGCACTTGTTAGCAATCAGCCCTCAATAGGTGGCAAAAGTGTCCCTTCCTTGGATTTTGTTTTAGGTTTGATTTTTGTTTTATTTCCTTATTTTTGAGAAACGGGTACATGAGGCTGTTAAAATGTAATTTTATTGTTTGTTAAATTTTAAATCTTTACTTTGAGAAGTATGAGGTACAAGTTTGGTTTGCCTGTTTCTTTCAGTGAGATATTTCTGTCAGTAGACGATGTTTATTTTACATCTGCTTTCAAAAATAATATTTCGTCTGATTGTATTGAATGAAGTCTTGATAGGGAAGATAATTGATCGTAATTGTTCATGTCTCAAGTTGAGTTTGTATGTCTGCATCGTATACATATCCTAGCCTCAAATCTAAGAAAACAAACCTGAAAATCGAAACTTATTTCAGATTTACCAATATTGTAACATTTGGTTTGTTAATATCTGTAGTTGACATGGAAATAAGTTTCTTGGTTTGTTCAGATTGTTGAATAGTTTGGCCATAGAAGTAGTAATATACTTTTTTTCATTTAAACTTCTTGACTTTTATATTTTGAAAGAACTACCAACCAATAAGATATCATATATTAAAAACCTTTTAAATAAAAATTATATGGGAGGTGTTTTTATATAATTTGTTTGAGTTAAACTTTCAAAGTATTAAATGTGTATTATTGATATGTTTATATTTTCTTGTTCATTTTTTATATGACATTTTATTACAATTAGGACATGAATTTAGACAAAATTTTGAAAAGACAATATACTCATGAATCATTTAGAAGAAAGAAAGTAAGCAACAAAGAGATAGATATAAGACAAAAAATAACTACAACGGCTATTAATAAAATTTTAAAAATTAGAGAGTCTTAAACTTGGATTTAAATATAAGAAAGAAATTAACAAAATTGAGAATGGCCTCAATTCTGCCTCTATATATACTAGCTACCAAGAAGATCTTAAGAATCATAAGACTTGTGGCTTAATCATCAAGTTGTAAGTTTTTGCTAATGAGGTTTCTTAAAAATAGAAAATTTAGAGGACAAGTTTTAAAAGCCACATTGCAAATCAGTAGGAATATACAGACCTAATTTGTATCCATGAAACATCTTTAAAGTTTCTTAAGGAAGATATTATCTATCTAACAAGTTTTTACCTACTTCTACTTATTTTTATTTACTTATGTAATGTAGGCATCTACTATAATAAATCTATGCATGATTATTTTAGAAGTACTTAAAATATTTTGTTCCTATTATTGAATCCTATTAATAAGAAAATTTCATGTTTGTTTATTAATGTTAGAACTTAAAATTATCAACATCATGAGTTGGATGTTGCTATAAATATATCTTGTTGAAGAAAGATATAATTTCATTGTGAATTGATAAAACATATTAATATGAATACCTTTTATAATTGTGTTTAAGAGAGTGTAATAAGATTTTAGTATTGTGTTAGGAGATTGATAAGAGCTACTTGATTAAAAGAGATTCTATTATAGTAATTGCAAGCTTTACAAAAATCTTGGTTAAGTTTTAATATTTAAGATACTTATCTTCTATATTAGATAATCATAGAAGAAAACTTTCTTAGTATGAGTTTTCTTTGAAAGGACATAGAGTAGTAGATGTGCTTTAAATGCCTTATTAGTGGTGACTGAATCTTTATAAATAAAAAAGCAATTAAGAATAAAATTATTCATTTGTGAGATTATTTCTTTTGTTTCTTAATTTATAATATATTAGCTTGGTTATTAATAAATATATAATAGAAAGTATAAAATTTACATGTTCAATCTATATATATATATATATATATATTTGAATTATTTAAAGAATTTTATAATTCTTTAGATAGAATATTTTTTAAAAGGATAATATATTATTCTTTCTTTTTTTCCTTATTAACCATTCTTTTTAATATGAAAGATTGTTCTAAAAAGATTAAAAAGTTTTGTAGAAACAACTTCTACCACTAGAAAACAAAGATAAAAAATTTATTGGCAGAATTGGATCTTTAAGGTATTGTTGACAAATCAAAGAATCTACCACCAAATAGTGCTAATGTAAAAACAAAAAAGAAATACAATCAATATATTAATAAATTTCTTTAGATACTATTGCAACAAATTTAGACAAAACCAATGTTATCTACATCATTTGTTACAAAAAAATTATCAATAGTTTAAAAGATGCTTTGTAAAATCTATAAGAATAATAGATTTTCTAATATAATATTTATAAGAAAAAAATCTTTTGCACATAAAATAATAATGGTAAAAAACTCATAATACATATCAATAATATGAAGGCTTTCACAAACCAACTTGCAATTGTTGATAAATCCTTAGGAAATATTAATATAATACTGATATTTTTCAATTTACCAAAAACTTACAACTTAATGATGACTTTGGAATCTATTGACATAAAGAACTTTACCATAGATTATGTTACAACAAGATTGAGCCATGGAATAGGAAAGCATAAAAAAACAAACCCCCAAAAATAAAGATTTGATTCTTTGTTCTTATCAAAGAATAGACAACTATTCTAATCAACATCCTAATTTAAGAGTATGTTATATTGGTAGAAAATTTGATTACAATGCTAAAAATTACATCAAAATGAATAGACTAGAGAAAAAAATAAAGATATTAAGATTATTAGAGATAATTATAGAAGATGTGATTATGCATTTGTGACAAATAAAAGAATCTGTAAATTTTTTATGTTTGAATAAATTATAGATTTAGGTGCATCTTAGACTTCCTCAACATGTGGTCACTTCTTCTTATGAAACTTGTTTTTAGTATAGAAAATTATCTCATGGACATATGCATTTATCTAGATTAATGGAATAAGATAGTAATAAGTAAATTTGATATTATCTAATAGAGAAGCTTCTTGAAAGCTTCATAGATACAAATTTCACTTTATACATGATTGTAGGTGATAGATAGGTTGAAAACTTGGCTAACAACTTGGCTATATGTTGCATACTTTGATAAATTGTGGTAGAAGTTGGCTACGTGGTGTTTAAGTAAAAAACTTGTCTTGCAACTTAGACACATGTATTGCAAGTTGGACACAAGTTGGAGGTCTTATAGAATACCACTACATAATTCCTAATTATATAGTATATATGGAAGGAAGAGTGAAGTGGGTTTCACTCTTGTCAATGACTTTCTTTTTCTTAATCTTGTTTCAAGATAATTTAGTTTTTATGTCTTTGGCAATAGCCATTTTAGTTTAATATTATATCATCTTTGAGTGATTATCTACTCTTTTTTAGAAGAATGTATTGATACTTTGGTATTTTTTGATTCATGTTCTTGATAATTTATAAAGTATAAGAATGCTTATGAATACTCATAAAATCTATTCATATCAAAAGAATGATGTGTTTGCAGATACATCATTTAATTATATCGATGCTACTAATGTAATTTTATTAGAACTAATAATTAAAAATAAAGGGCAAGTATGAAAAAAAATTCTCCTTTGAAAAGACAACAAAGACTATTACAAAATATATGTCACGTAGAAAAGATAAATAATAGATATATATATATATATATATATATATATATATATATATAGGTTTTAAATAAATGGTAATTTTTTTTAAAAAAATTATAATAAATAATAGAAGAATCGCATATTTTCTTAAATAAACTAAATAAATGTGAATAATTTTATTTTTTTATTGATTTATTAACATTGTATTATGCTATGAATTTTATCAATATAAATAAGTAAAAGAAGGTCATAGAAAAAGACTACCAATCTCTTATGGATAATAGGTATTAGCTCAATTTCTTTCAAATTACACAAGTATTAACTTTAAGTAGGTACATTTTACCAAAATAGATGCATTGGATGTGATAATGTGATATAAAATAAGATTTATTGATAAAAGGTATTTACAAGTGGTGGATATTAATTTCAATGAGAAAATTACATTTATTTTTAAATTCACCATAATTAAGATCATTATTATAATTTGGACAAAAAATAATTTGGAGATATATCAAATAAATAAAAAGTCAAGTTTTTTGAAGAAAAAACTAAAAGAAGACATCTACTTTAACCAAATGCTTAGATTTGGACCAAAAAAAAGAAAAAGTAAAAAGAAAAAACACACTATACTTAAAAATTAAATAAATCCTTGAATAATTTAAATCAATTATCAAGAATATAATATCAATGTATTGATATATTCTTTGTTAATAAAGATTTTACTAGAACTAAGACCAATTGTTTCTTGTGTGTAAGGCCATAAAGAAAGTTCTTTTTAGATATCATTTTTTATTTCAATAATTCAATTATTTAAGAAATATATATAAAAAAATGGATATAAAAATTTCTAATTTTAAGAAATAATAAAAAAATAAATAACTTATAAAAATTATATTATTATCTTAGGATTTAAGTTTTTAAAAATAAAACTAATTGTATTATTAGAATAAGCTAAAAAAGCATATTGAAGAAGTATTAAAAAGGCTTCAATATAAATGAATTTATATCTATAATTTTAGATATACATTGATTTAATATCTATTTATAGATAAATTAAAATTAAAGATTTTTTTTTAAAAAAAATTGAAGTTTAAATTGAAATAAAAGGGATTCTTTACAAAGCAAAATTAAACTGATGCATATATATAATGAGAGGTATAAAAGTTGATCATTTATAAGAAGTAATTATTATAAATCAACCCATATTTAAAATTAGATTTATGCTTTGGGCAAAATTGAATAGAATCATGAAATACTTAAAAGACATATTTAACTTCAAAATATGTTTTTATTTTAAGAATATTTATTCAAAATAATAATGGAATGTAGATTAGGCTAGAGATAAAAAATAATAGGAGATCCATCACAAAACATGTACTCTTTGTTGGTAGAAGAATCATTTTATAAAATTACAAGAAACAACCTACTATTGCTTGTTCTACCATGGAGGTAGAATATATGATAACGAATCATTGTATAATAGAAGTAGTTTGCCTAGGACAAGTTTTAAAAGACATTGAGTTTGTGCAATTGGAAGTAGTTCTAATCATGCATTACAATAAAGAATGTCTTACACTTGCAAAGGATCTAAAACACCATTTTTATAGAAAATACATTTATGTGCAATAACACTTCATAACATAAAGGATTGAAGATAAAGTGATAAGCATGATGAATTATGCAATCAAAGATAATGTTGCTAATTTGCTAAAAACAAATTCTTGTGAATGATAAAAATCTTCTATTGACAAAAGTAGTAGACTTGAAAAGTTTTAAATACTTGCAAAGTAGGAGTGCCAAAAGAAAATGTAAATTAAACTTAATCCTTAGTTAATTAGGGCCTATAGGCTTTTGATAGGTTAAATTACTAGTAGTCAAAGAACATCTAATGTTTGAAAACAATAACCACATGACTTTGATAACAACAATTACATATCTCTAATATAGAAAATAGCATGTCTTTTAAAAGAACAATCATATGTCTTTTAGAATTTAAAAAAATACAATCCAAGGAGTAACAAATGGATGAATTCTATATGTGTGAGTATTCAATAAGTACTTACAAATAAAAAGTGTTGGAAGTAATGTATTAGCTTATTCTACACATTTCTTGTGTTATTTGTTAATTTTCTAACATATATATATATATATATATATATATATTTAATTTAATGTTTCCTTCAATAGGTTTGATGTAGTCTAAAAAAATCCAATATCCCAAAACAATGCACTGTAGGTATGGTAAACAAACATAAGGAATAAAAACCAAGGATAGTACCATCGTTTATATTCAAACCTTGGATCTCTTGGATATCATAGACCACTTGATTTATGGTTAAAGGAGCCTAACATGTACCCATGTTACAAAATATAAACATACTTATTTAGGAAACATTTTACTTCTCGACTCATTGTCCATGTATTACTTCAAAGCTTGGAGGTAGGAAGCACAAAAACAATTCTTTGTCCCAACTCCATCTCTTATGTATGATAATCTACAAGATTGTATTTATCCATGAATCAAGTAGAGAGGTAGTATTGCAACATTTTTCAAAACGTCAGTACAAGGATAATGAAAACAATGAAGTTTGAAAATGACTCATCACCACATAGTAACCCATATTATAATAAATTTCATATTCGCTACTTGCACACTTGCAACATTGCTTGTTGGACACACCATCATTATGGACAGCTACTTAATGAAGATTACTGAATGTAATCCCCCTTCTCTTCAAGCTATAAAACTGTTCGACGGTGTGGATCGTTATCTGAATGAATGAAGAGGCATACTGATGCCAGCTTGTCCATTGCAGAACACTGGGCAATGTACACAACAATCCGACATTGGAGTCTACACATCAAGCCCAAACAAAAGCATGCGGACAGTTAATCTAATGGTGTGCATTTACACCAGGAAACAAGAGCTTCTCCCATATTCCTTCCATGAGCAGAACAGTCCCAACAACTTGCAATAATAATATCTATCGTACACCAGAACACTTCTCCATGCTCTGAACTAAACTCTACTCTACCACACATGGAAGAAATCCGTAAATCGCTCACTGCCGATCTTCTCCTGCTTGTAGCGCCATCGACACAGCGGGGAAATTGGATGAGCAGTGCACCCTTCTCAAAACACACATGTATAAGCTAAATCGAGGTCAAATTTGTCAATACACATATGGCACACCTCCATCTGACGATGATCTCTGGGAATTGGAGTTTGTCCTCTTAGAGACCAGAGAGCAGTATACAGAAGTTAGCACAAGTCTTCTCCTGCCACATTTGCTGGCAATGACTGAGTGGTGTGAACCCCAGGAGAGCCTACAGGTGAGGTTTGAGTGGCTGCTGACGACATGGAAGGGACAGGGACAGCACGACCGGCAGGAGGAACGAGCAAAGGAGTCGTCTCTGTAGCTGCTTGATGTCTGGGTGCAGCGTTCGCATCCTGCTTGCATATAGGACAGAAAGGCCTCCTAGTGAGTAGCCATTGGTCTATACATCCGACATGAAAGTCTGTAGAAGACACAATACACAATAGTTAGTACCAACGATGTGTTACCTCACACCTAACGTGTAAAATGTAAACTGTTATGCGTATCATAACCTCCCAAAAAACTTCAATAGATGCAATAAGTCAGCAACTAGAGATCCTGTAAACAATACATAGAGTGTATCAAGTAATCTATGCACTTTGTATCAAGATGCGCATGCCGGACGCTTACTATAATCAAGCTTCTATTAATCAAGAGCAGTAAAAATCAAATTCAGCTAACATACCATGGTCACAAGGTAAATGCCGAAGCTTTTGTCCGCTCTCATAGTCCTCTAGACAAATAGCACATGTTTCTCCAGTAGCAGCTCCATCTCCACCGGCGTCTTCAAAGATGAAGGTGGGGAGTGCCTGTACATCCCGAGCATTCATTCCAGAGGGTTCTCGCGATAAGAAACGAGAACCAAGATGTCGTAATCTATGACGCCGGACAAAGAAAAAGGTAGACAGCACCGCTGATACTGCAAGAAGCGAGATCGAAGAAACAGCCATGATTGACCAAGCGGTGTCCTCAGCAGCTGCTTGCAAAGTACATGTTACATTATTATCCCCCACAGCACCCAGAAGAGCTTGGCCAGTATTCCAAGAGACAAATACTGCATATATGTCTATATCTTCAGCTGAGCCTGACACTGCAAAAATAGAGAAAATAATGAACACATCAACTGTATGAGATATAATTATTCAGCTTTCAATCACATTCGCAGATCTTCATCACATCAAATCTTCAACAAAGTTAAGTGACCACTCAGATTCCATGAGTATTTCAAGAGCTATTATTGGTGATGCAGTGATGACAAATATTGGAAGTTATGCAAAATATACGCACGTGGGATGAGTTGGATCAAGGAGTAGGACCTGACATAACATCCTCACATGCACATAAGCCTTGTACTATGTTTCCGCCAATTGTTTACGTTCAATTCATCAATAGAACTTCGACTGCATCAAAGCGTTTCAAATGACGTGGATTGGACCAGTTGACAGTTCAATTGTTGCCACCATGGATTTGTGCAGTTTGATGGCCAACAGCATATAATCATGTAATGAAGGCTCTCATAACCAGCACACAGACATCCAGATAATTCTACCAGAGGTCTTACTTGTGATCATCTCGTCGGTGAAATCCATCGTATTGTACACAATAGCAGCTTGAAATCCAGCAACTTGCGCATTCTTCACCTTCTTATCGAAATTGCAAGTACCCCGTGATATCACAACAAAGGGAACTAATGGCTCGCCCTCCGGGATATGGTTCTTTAAAGGGGCACATGCATCGAGTGGATTTGCTACGTGCAATATGCCGGTCACACCTTCATCTGGTACGGGTCGAGCTGCAAAAATGGGGATGAAATAAATATTATGTATCAGAAACACTAGTAGATCGAGCGACAACTGAACATCCCTCGTGAGATTTCAAAAAAATACAAGTTACTCGCAAACAAACCCATACCTATATACGTTAAGTAGAGACATAATCGTGTGTCCATGGCATTGGTGATTCAAAGAGAAGCTTATTTTTCGTAATTTAATGCTCAGAATAGAAGGAACACACTGAGACTTGTCTTCAAATGACTATATACAGGGCATCTTAAGGATACTCTTGATGAAATAGTTTGGTTAGTTTCAACGCTATCAAAGACAAAGCTCCGTAAAGTCCTCTCCTATACGCAAATTATAAACTTGAGACTCACAAAATTAAAAAAGCTAATGAGAAAGGAGATGGGATGCACAAGGACACACCGAAGGCGGCTTCCATGTCCGGAAAAGATCTAGATTCATTCCTTGTATTGAGCAGAAGCACATCCGCGCTTCCACGACCGAAAAAAAGAGTCAGAAGTACGAGGGATAGACAACCCAGAGATACCATCACCTCCCTTTGACTTGTGATCCTTTCAAGCAACCCTGATTCCCCTGCAACTGAAGGCATATTCACGGCTGGAAGAACCCAACAATAATTTAGGGATATCTCTACCCTGAATAAAACTGCCCTTGAACTTTCGCTCCCCTGTTGCAATCTCCAATCCAGCGTGCACAAGGTCACCACAGTATGAATGGTAGTGCTACGCCAAGAAGTACCCAGAAATTTCAAAAAACCGTCACGAATCCCTGACGATAGCCAACAGAGCGAAGGCGCAAGATTGCCCTTAAGTCCAGAAACACGAAACCCGCGTGTCACGTCCCAATACAAACCCTAATAACCCCCATATCCATGTTTAGATACCCACAATAAGCAGAGCGCACCCATATAAAACCACGCCTCGAAAGCCACAAAAAATGAAACACCTCACAGCCCTCCTCCCCAATCAAGGGGAATGACTCCAACAAGCGCCAAAAAATCCAACGCGAGCTATACCAAACGCAATCCGAAGCAGCCGGGGAGGGGAGGGGAGGGGAGGGGCGTATATACGACGTTCCAACGAGCACAACCCACAAGGCGTCTCAAGCCCAGTGGCAACACACCGCAGAATATCGCGCAGGCCTAGCCAGACGAGCAAAGCGATCCGTGGGAACGCAACACGATGCCAGCACTTCGATGATGCAAATTGCAATGGATGCAATTGGCGGTGGGCGCACGCACCCCACTGAACCCGACGTCGCGGCCCTGGCACCGGAAGGACGTGGCGGGCTACCGCGAGTCCCCCCCCCCGCCCAGGTGCATCTCTGGGGCAGCGGAGAATGCTATTGTACTGTAGCCCGGTCCACTATGGCGCATTCGCAACTCGCCCGCGGCTGCCACGCTGGACTGCCGCTGCCGCTGCCACTCGCGTTTTCATCCCAGTAACACCCCTGCGCTTAAACCCGCCTGGGCCTGTAACATTGCTTGTGTCACCACGATCAGGTGAGCGAGACATTGTAGAGCCATGCCACCCATTGTCATGCCCACTAGATGTGGGAGGCACCCAGATTTCCTTTGGAGTACTCACTCCTGTCACTTTGGTGGAGTTTAGGGTTTTGGTTTCAAATGGAATAGTCTGGGTTTTGGTGGCTAATAGAATAGCAGGTTATGGTTTCAGTTGTTCAAGGTTTAGGGGAGTACAGCTAAGACCAGCTTGACTGACTAGGAAGAAGTTGTAGTTATGGGGGTGACAGATGTCTTTATGAACAACTGTGCAGGCAAACTAGCACACCCATATAATAAAAAAAATTAGTGATGTAGGTGACAGCCTATTGGAACTGAAGGACATGAACTGTAGCAAGCAAACAGTAAAAGGGTATATTTTGTTCACACTATGGCCATGGGAGGCATTGCATTCCATGGCCATGCCTAGTCAATGTTTTTTTCATGGCAGAGAGCAGATCAATATTGAAGAGCTAGATTCTGAAACACCAAATTTCTCAACTAAGTGCCATTTACAACTTTAATCATCAGCTCTATGATTCATAGCCTTCATCAAACACCAGCATTCAGAACCACAAACTTGGTGGAGTTTTATACTTCAGTGTCACCTTTGAGATGTGGGGGTGGGGGAATTTAATGTGAGGGTGCAAGGTAGGAAGTGTAATCAATGAGTGTACATTATGACATCAACATATGATATGAGAAGGATATGTTAGAGTGCACTCATTTTGCACTTTAGAGGTATCATTGCAGTAATGGATTATGACTTGGCCATTGGGCACCACTGAAACAATAAGGTTTAGGATGCATTAATCAAATAAAGGCACTTTGAATTGATAACTAAGGTTAGAATTTTTGCCTCTTCTTGCTGTTTTCAAAATCTCTGATCTTCTTATTGTTGTTAACATTCTTGTTTGTAATGAAGGGTGCATTGATCAAAAAATTGGTAAGTAGCACTCTTTGTTGTTTACTGGTTTAGGTTGTTGTTAAGAATTCTAATGTTTGCATTTTTGTATATGGCATGCTTAAAAGTTGTTTTATTTTTTAGGAACTACTTTGATGGTTTCCAAAGCTGTAGCTTTAAGAATAACAATTTCCTAACATTCTTTCAATATCAAGTATTCAAGTTGTTACTAGATGTAAAACCTGCATTTGGAGCTTGTCATTGAATACAAAGGATAAAAGATGTGAGATTCCAATTGAAGATACTTTGTGATCATTCATTGCAGCCAAGTAGTTTTTTGCAATAAAACGCAATTGAGAAAACATATGTATATGGATAGATGCAACACACCAAAATATCTCGATGGCACCTAAACCTTATTTCTATCCTACTTTGATTTCAAATTAGGACAAGGAAAACTTGTTGAGATAATTGGCAAAGGAGTTGAGTAAAAGATCAATAGCTTGGAGGCCGATCTTAACAATGGCAATGGTGACAACAATTTGTAAACATCTAATGATGTTTGTGAAAAGTAGTAAAAAAATATAGGCAAGTTTGTTATCTGTGTTATAGGAGGAGAAAGAAGGGAAGGAAAGAAAGAAATAAGGTAGATCAAGGTGCTTGTCTTACCTCATATAAATATTTTTTTAAAGCGGTGCCATTGAAGTAAGCTACTAACACTACAAAAAGCAAGCCAATACAGAAGATGCATAAGAAAGAATAGAGATGATGTAAGAAGAAGGTGAGAATAATGGAGTGTGAGCCTTTAAAATCTAAAGAGCAAGGAAATAATAGGTAGCATAGAAAAGCTACAAACAAAAAACAGACCAAATCCAAGGAGTTGGCAACAAAGCAACAAAGCAATAAGGACAAAAAAATCAACAAAAAAAAAGAGAGAAGGACAAGAAGAAGAAAGAACACAAGAGTAATAAAAAATCATGTTATTCAAAGACTTTGCTCAAATTAAAATTGCTTGAATCTAGTATGGAATGTAAACAAATTAATAGCAATAAGATAGAAAACATCTATTATGATACTAAATACCTTACTGCTACTTCATCTAGATCAAATTACACTATTATAATGTAATTGGAACTAAAAATAATATTGATATAAGTCATGAGACGTCTTACTTTGAGATGGCTAAAAGATTTGGGCTAATGTAAGTTCTTGTGATATAAAATTTAACAACTTTGCTTCCATGTTTAAAGAAGATAACAATAGTGATGTGTACATGTTTTTTTTGGATTCATTTTTTGCAAACCACCTATATATTGTGATCAATGTCAAAGAAAGTTTATAAGAGAATTTATCAATCTCGTTAATATGGGATAAGGAATTGATAGAGTTTTAGACAAAAAAAAAAAGGAATAGCCAAAATCCTTCACTTATCACCTTGCTATGGAAAAAAAAATATAGTACAATAAAACGTTTCTAATTTGCACAAAAAAATTATTTAATGTTATTATGAGACAAAAAAACAAAAGAGATGGAGAATTCTTTATGCTACTAATTGTCCATAAAAATCCAAAATCCTAAGTTTTTTTTTACTTTGATTCTATTTAAATAATATCATAATATCATGGAAATAGAATGTAAAGGTTATAAATGATTTTCAAAAGATATGTAAGGACAACATGTAGACAACCAATTTTGAAGATTTTTTTCATACGATGCTTGTTTAGGTGGACAAAAAAAAAAAAAAAAAAAAAAAAATCGAGCCAATTATGTCTATTGCATTAGTGACATTGCTTTAAAATCATACTAACTTTAGATTTAACATGAAAAATTGACAAATATATTAATAGAGTAGATTGTAACACTATTTCAATGTCTATGAAATTACTTATCTCTAGTAGAGACGACATGAAGGAATTCCCTGACTTCAAGACAAACTTGTATATATACAATATAAATTTGATTATACCAAGTTTTTAGAGGAGATTTCTTCATACCTTATCAATGTCTAATTGAATAAAAAAACAATATGTTTATAAGCAAGAAAAGAATTTTTTTTAAAAAAACTATATTTTTTTGGAAGATAATCCTTTAGAATTGGTATCTTTTATGACACATTCTAATACCACAATAAGTTTTATTAGAAACCTTATTTCTAATATATTGTCTATACAATGATGAATTTCTAATTTTTTATAATTATAATTTAAAAAATGTATGATTTATCAAGTTACATTTTATAATAGACTTATTATATATATTTAATATTTTCATAAAAAATTAAATGCATATGATATGATTTACAATATTAGTGTGATTTTTGATATAATAGTTACTAAATTGTATGGCATCCACTAAATTCTAATGCAAACTTGAAAGATGCATATCAAACCCAAATTATTTATTATTATTTTAAAAAAAATATATTCAAACTATTATAATTTTTTTTGGTAATTTACATACCTTTTATATGCAATTATAAAGAACACAATTATGAAAAAATATACGGACAAGATTTGGATGAAGAAAGCATTAGCAATCTTTTATATATAAGGAATATATATTTTTGCCAATATTGGAGTCAAAAAAACGGAGAAATTACAACATTGCATCTCTAAATAAATATTCTAAATTAAGAGCATAAAGATAAAGATGTTATTTGAGATATTATGCATTTGATGAAGAATGTTCAAGTTTGTATCCTTCAAGATTACACTATAAGTAGAAACACTAAATTCAATAGGACATCGTGTACAATGCATTATAAAGAATAGGAACATCAGTCAAAGAACTAAGAGGTTTCTTTGTGCACAAAAGAAGATGAGAATATTGATAAAATTTCATATAATAGAACTATAATGTTGAATCTCAAGGCCTTCTTAATGCAACGTAATATCAAGTAGTCCATTTTAGATATTACAAAGTTCATTGATATGGATAATATTTGTTGTTAGAAACAATGCATGCATAATACATTAAGAGAAGAGCTCTTCTACCTTACTAGTATAAGCAATAAAGGTGACAGAGGAAGATTTACTAATGTTGACTATTATGATGAGAAATAACATAGCAATGAGAGGTTGTCTTGTTCTTCATACAATAATTTTTGCTAAGTTCATCTTATTTTTTTTTGGGAGCTACAATATACCATAGACAAAAAATAGAATTTAAATATCACTTAACTTATTAAGTTTGTAATACAAGTTATTAAAAATATAGAAGAAATAGCTGGTCTATCTATTTCAAATACTTAGGTAGAAGTTTAGAATTTATTGTAATAGATATATAATAGAAACAATGAAGATGTTGTGATACCAAAGAAAGAAATCATATTAATTACAAAAAAAACTACTAACAATGCAGATAGCATTTAAGTATTTGAGACATGCATAAATTTTAGCAACAAATTTAATGTCAAAAGAGGTTGTGACTCATTTGATCTGTTTATCACTTAATCTTCATAGAATAGAAAAAAGAAGATCAATACATAAAATTAATGAAGGATATTTAGTAATAGAATATACAAGAAATATGATAGACTATTTTTTTATATTTAGTACTAATAAATCTTCAAGATAGTTTTTAATAGAGGTCTATAAGGAGTTGTAGCTAGATCACCTAATAAAACTGCCATGAGTAGAGCTACAATTAAGAAACACATGCTATGTATGTAATATTATTTAATTGACTTGCATAATAGATCCAACATAGAGGGAGAATTGGATTCACAATTGCTAATTCTTATCAACCAAAAGAATGTGAACAAGTGCATATTGACTTTGATTGCAATAGAAATTCATGATAATTATTGAGATTGTTAATTTTTAGGCTTGTTCTATCTAAGTATGACAATGACAATACCTACCATGAATATAGAAAT